GATTTCAATCTCTTTTGTGAAGTAACTCCAGAACTCGGCTTGTTTCTCTATCTTTCTCTCTACCTCATTGAGTTTTTTGATTATAGCTGCTCTGAACTCATTCTCACTTAGTTTACCTAATTCCAAGTCCTCAGGACTTAATTCTATGTTTTCATTGTTTTCCTTCTGGTCTGGGGCTTTTATAAATTGCTGGATGGTAGAGGAGCGGTTTTTTCTCATGGTGGTAGAATTCAGTTGCAGTTACAGCCTGTCACCAGTAGATGGCGATCAAGAGGCACGTGTTATGAGCTCTCTGCCTTGGGGCAAGATGGCTGCACCCACTGGCTTGGCGGGGGGGGCGGGGGCGGGTGGGGGCTGTTACACGCGCCGGTCTGGGTTCAGATCAGTTCTCTTCTCTGGTCTCCTAAGGCCCTTGATTTATGGGGTCCCCACGGATGGAAGCTTTCCCCCCGTCAGCAGGTCTCCACTGAATCAGCGGCAGGAGTCCTGGATGATCCCCCAGTTGCGCGGCCCCTCCCCCGCTCCTTCCCGACCTGCGCTGCAGCGATCGCAGACTCTAGGGGAGGGAGCAATGTTCTCTCCTACTGTTCCAGTGCCTCCGAGGGTGTAGGCAAGGTTTATGATCTCCGCTTTCTTGGTATTGTAGGTCTCTAACGAGCTGGCATTATGTTTATTCTCTGAAATTCAGTTCTTCCAATCTTTTGTTGTATTTTGGAGGGGAGAGAATCCCAGGTCAGCTCACCCCGCCATTTTGCTCCGCCCCCTAATCCCAAATCATATATAATTACTTTTAATCAAAGCAGGGAATATGGTCTCAAAAGTATGGCTTTCAGAGTTAGGTTTTCTGAGAGAGGAAAAGAGTTTTTTGAATCAAAAGGCTAAAAGCCTGAAGAATTCAGAGCATGGAGTTTATATCATATATAACACAGGAGAGAAGAATACAAACTATTCTAAGAGCAGTTTTCTCACTTCAAGATAAATAAAATTTCTTCCTTCCACCTGCTGGGAAGAGAAGAATCAGAGAGGACATGACTAGAACTCTTGGGGACTCTGAGAAGGGGTTCACTTCACTTCCCCACTTCCTCAAGACAGCCCTAGGAGTCAAGATGGAGCAGAACAATAGAAATCTTAGAAAAACTGGGGAGACTTCCAGAGTAGAAGGGACCATTGCCTGACTCCACTGGGTGCAGCCCCCTCTTCCAGTCTGGCACCTGAGTGGAAAGTAGCAATAGCTGGGGAAGATGTCCAGAACAGATGAGGACTGTCACATGAGATCTCACATTTCAGCTTGTAGGATGTGCACACTCAAAAATTTCCTGCACTATATGAGGGCCACAGAGATGGCCCAGAGAGGAGTTCCCTCAGCATGAAAAACAGGGTGCCCTGTGTAGACACTACCTGAGAGCAAAGGGCACTGGAAATTTAAGCACAGGAGGGTGCTAATGACCAAAGCCCAGGATGGTTTATCTAGCAGAGGATACTGGGAGGCAGAGGACAGATGAGGGCCATGAACCAGACCACCCTCCCGACAATGTCTTCCCCTCATCTAGAGCACTCAGAGAAAAGAGGAGAAGAAGAGGCAAAACCTGGATGGAACTGTTTAAACCCCAAAGGGACCAAGAAAACTCTGAAAATGACTGAGTTCATCTTGAACTGTCAAGAGTTTTTCATATCTGGGGACATGGGAGCATGGAAGCTAGATAAAGTTCAGTTAGAGAACCATAAAGAACACAGGTCCCATGCCTGAGTTTTGTGGGACGGTACATTTTCGTACTTGTTAGAGTTATACATGTACCAAGGAATGGAGGAAGTGCAGGAGCACAGAGGAGGAAACAACTTACAGGAGCTCCTGTGTCAACCAGGAGATGCGATTCCAGCCATGTCTTGAAGACGGAATAGGAGTTTACAGAGCTAAAAAGGGTGAGGAGGGAAGGCATTCCACATGCAAAGGCACAGAGGCATGAAAGTATACAGCATACAGTAGCATACAGTATTTAGGAAACTCTTAAGAAGTTCATGGCTACAATGTTGAGGAACATATTGAGTGATGAGACTGGTGAAATAATGTGGGGCTGGGGCCTTACATGTTCTGCTAAGGAGTTTGGGTTTTTACCTCATAGGCAACTAGGAATGCAGATGTTAAACAGGCATGTAATTTTTAGCATGATATTTCTGGTAGCCGAGTAAAGGATAGGTTAGATGGGGTGGTTTTGAGGCAAGGAAAAGACCTAGTTATCCTCTAGGCCTAGGGGTCGATGAACTAAGGCAGTACCAATAGAGAGGTGAGGCTGGGCTGAGAGCTTTATTGAGAGAGAATCACTTGGACTGTGTGACTGCCTAGCTATAAGAGTGAGAAAAAAGAAGGAATGGAGGATGACAAAGTTACCAGCTTAGGAGACCTCTTAGATAGATGGTGATGGTATTGGCCAGGTTAGGGAGTATCAGAAAAAGAGCGTATTTCTTAGGGGAAAGTATAGCCAAGAAAAGAGTTCAGTTTGAGGTGGCCATGGGACATCTAGGTAGAGATGTCCAAAATACATCGGAAATATGGACCTACAGGTCAGGAGAGAGGTAGGGGGTCAGAGCTACAAATTTGTAAGTCATCACCATAGAGGTAGAAGTTGAGGCCAACGGAATAGGCACAATCACCCAGGGGGATATTGTAGAGGAAAAAGAGGGAAGGTTTCCTTCAGAACTCCAGAAAACACCAACATTTAAGGAATGGGCAACAGATGGATTCACTAGATTATAAATTATATGGGCTGAAACTCTATATTTGGTTTGCTGTTGGGTCCTTCCCACCTAGCACAGGGCCTGACTCATAGAATGTGCTCAATAAATACTTGTGGAATGAATGAATGAACCCAATACAGAAACTGCAAGCATGTAGGCTCATTCTTGCTACATTCAGTCAAGTCCTACAAGCAAGATATGAACTCAGAATAGAACTGGCTGGAATATAAGCAAAGATAGAAAAAAAAATAATAAACCTTTGGTAATAGAAGCCCCCTCTGCCTAAGGGTGGCCATCTAAATTGACTGAAAGTCCCATAATTTGGAACCTTGCAGGAATGACAAAGTCAAGAGCCTTTGTACTCCAAATGAAAACTAGGTAAAAAAAATGGGTTGTGAAACAGCTTCAGTGGTGATAAAATTGACGTCCCCTGGGTTTCTCAAGCACCTTCAGTTAAGCGTTCTCATCAGAAATGTTGGCACAAGTCACATTTTGGGTAGCGTCTACCCACTGAGTCTATTGTCTGAATTGCTTCAAGGCAGTGGTACTTAAGCTGAGGGCTAGAGAGATGGGCAGAGCACAGAGGCCAGTAGGTAAAAGACCAGAACCTTGAGGCTTAAAGACTAGATGGAGACAAGATCTTTGGCTAGGTTATAAAGACACAAACTTGACCAGAAGCAAACAGGCCTCATGCCTGCTGAGTTTTTAAAGGAACTGTTTTGCTGAAGAAACCACAAGCCTAGCCGTCAGTAGCCTGAAAGCATTCTAGTCCCTGAGGCAGTCCGTGGACCCTTGGTTGGCAGTGGACCTAGAAATGCCCAAGGGCAGCAATACATAGGGAAGATTTTTCCCAGAGTGCAAAACAAGGGTCTTACTCCACTCTCAGAATCAAGAGTCCTCACTATTCTTGTCCAGCAGTGTGTGTCTAGTGGTATGGACCAGTGACTTGTGTGTTTCCTTTTCCCCTTTTGAACTGGGAGGTTTTAATTGCAGTTTTCCTGCTCCTTCTCCTATTGTTATATGAGTGTGTTAGGGCAATTACCTTGCCTTTAAGCTTTAAGAGAGGACTGCCCAGACTTGAGGCTGATGATGAGACAGGGTGAGACTTTGGGTCTGTCTTCCTTGGAAGGATGGTGTGTTATTAGATGTTTTGGGAAGAAAGATGTGTACAGATGTTGGGTAGGCAATTAGCAGTGTCTGCCACAAGACTGAAAAGAGGGTACTCAGTGGATTTGGAAAATGGGGGACAATGATGATCTCAGTGAGAGTAGTTTAAGTAGAAGAGTTGGGGGGCGGGGAGTGCAGAGAAGCCAGTTACAATGGGTTTAGGAGCAAATGGAAGTTCTGAATTTTTAGGTCTTTACCAGCGAAAGGACCATACTGATCATCACTTTCCTGGTTACACTCAAAGACTTCTTGGTGGGGATTCATTTATCAACTTTTACCCCCAGGAATTGTCCATGTTCAATTTTTATCCCAGGTATTGCTTGTGTTCTCTCTGAGGCAAAGAGAAGATGATTTCCAGACTGTTTCCTTTCTAGAAAACAAGATTGGAGTTAGCTCTAGGGCAAGGATTATGCTACATATTTTGAAAGGTAAAGATCAAGAGTCACATATTTAATAGACCAGGAAAAATCAAGTTGCATTGGTGGGTACCTTCCATGATTATTACTAAGCTTCTTAGCCTCCTTTGGGGAGATCTAAAGGGGACAATATAGCAATTAAGTAGGCAGTATTTTTGTACAGCTGAAAAGAGACATGGAAGCTACACGTAGAACTCCCATAGCTGAGAAGGATCTTCAGGTGTTATTCACCTGCCAGATGATATCTAACTCATTCACTCACTAGCAGGCTACAGGAAATGAAGAAGATGGAAGAGGAAAGACCAACTTTATTAACTTCAGGAAAATGCCCTTTTAATTAAGGGATGAGGATGGTTTGGTAGTGTTAATAATTTTGTGGAGATAAGGAAAAAAAAGCGCGATCCTGAGTGCTCCCTGCAGATAAGACACATAAACACAGAAAGAAGAAAAGTAGCGAACTGTAGATCTTACTGGTAGCACTTTCAACATAAAACCCATCAGCAACAAAACCTATGAAGGAAAAAGAAAAAATATGACCCTTTCCAAATGACTTTGCCACTAAGTCCTAGTCACAAATGATCCCCTCACCAGAGCAACAGATGCTCTTGGCAGTGAGTCATCTGCTGATATCTGCTCGCCACTTCCCACATATGGCAGCCCCAATTAAGAGGGGCTGACACCTACCGTGGGGCACCGAGTACATTCTTTGAAAGCCAACTCTGCAAACCACTTCACAGAACTGGTGTGGGACTTGCTGAAACAGCCTCTGGCTCACAGGTGCCCTATTCTTTCTCTCTTCCATCATTTTCTTCTTTCTTTGGAAGGCAGCCATGAGAACCACATTGTCTATCTTCTCCACCTGGAACCCAGGAAATGAATGAAAAAGAGACTGGAGAACTGCTATTTAAATTGCCTGATACTCTGCTTCAAAACTAAAGGCATTTATGTGCATATTACTGCGTATGTCATTTGCTTTCCATATAAAGTTGTATAAGAGTCTCTCCTGGCCCCAACCCTCTCCTAGTCTGACTTCTATTTCTTCAAAGTTCCCTGTCCTTTCTTTGATAAATTCATTTAATCAAAATTCGCTGAGCAGTCACTATGTGCCAGGCACTGGTAATGAAATTGTCAACAATGTAGACACAGTCTTTGGCCTCTTGAAGCTCATAGTTTATAGCGAGACATAAAAATAGGTAAATAATTATAATACAGTGTGATAAATGCTATTTCATTACTTTTATTTTCCTTCAAGACAGGCAGATAGCTTTTTCCTGAGTCTTGATCTATGCTTCTATACCTTTTGATTTCCTACTATAACCCTTGTACCTGCCTATCCGTCCCCTCCTTTCAGTCACATTCCTAGGATTCCAGGTCAATGAGCAGCTAGCTTAGAGTTATCAGCAGGTGAATTTTTCTTTTGGCTATAGACTCAAATAATAGCAAGATGAATCAAATCCTTCCCTTAATGAAGTATACCTTTATAACTCGCAAACCACAGTTTTTAAACCGTTTCTTTTGATCCTGAATTTCTTCAGCTGAAAGCACTACATGTTTCTGAAATGTAATTTCTTTCATTTCATCCCAGTTTTTTGGTTGCTGATCAGTCCATTGTCCTAAAAATGAGTAACACAAAACTTTGTCTCAATGTTCTGTGAGAGGAAAAAGGTTTGTAAAGAAATTTAATGAAACAAATTATAGAAATTTGGAGGAATAAGACTAGCCAGTTTAAATTGTATGACCCATAAGTGTAGGACATGCAAGGAGAGCTACAATAGTATGAAAAGTCGTAGGGTAGGCGCCAGCCCGGTGGCACAGCAGTTAAGTTCGCACATTCTGCTTCGGTGGCTCGGGATTTGCTGGTTCGGATTCCGGGTGCAGACCTACACACTGCTTGTCATGCCATGTTTGGCAGGCATCCCACATATAAAGTCGAGGAAAATGGGCATGGATGTTAGATCAGGGCCAGTCTTCCTCAGCAAAAAAGAGGAGGATTGGCAGATGTTAGCTCAGGGCTAATCTTCCTCAAATAAAAAAAGGAAGTCATAGGATAAATAGGGGTTAATAAATTTGTCCTCGGATGATTCAGATTATGAGGCTGAGGGGATGAGAGAAAAAAGAGCATTAATATATACTCCCCTCATCACTGCTATAATGATGATATATAATTGTGTTGCTCATAGGAAATGTTTGTATTTCTAATCAGGATGCCCATCAACAAAAAAAGACAGGCCTAAGAAAACATTAAGGAATGATGGACAACAGTATGACATTTATATAACACTTCAGCGTTTTCAAAAAGATTTAATATCTCTACCTCATTTAGCATTACAACACTAGCACTGAAATAACTAACACAATTTTACAAATACGGAAATTGAAACTCAGAGAATTTAAGTGACTTGCCCAATATCACACAGCTAATAAGTACAGATCCAAATTATACACCTGGCTTTCACCAGTGCTTTCTGCAAGGGGCAAGGCAGAATATTTGGTACATGTATCACTCATATACCACCCAACCAAGAAGAGCATAATTTGGAGACAAAAGTCTACTGTGTCATATTTTTCCTTCCTTCCTTCTTCCTTTTTTTCTTCCTTCTTCCTTCCTCCCTCCCTTCCTTAACTTACTTCCTTCCTTTTTTAAATTCAAGGGACAACCTGTTATTACCCAAAGGAGCTCCTTATTGGACTAAATATACAGATGGACAAATGGAAACCCCAAAAAAGGCTCAGTAAATTTCAGTTTGACTAGGTATACCAAAATGAGCTCATTCCCCAGCACATTATCTAATTGAGTTGGCTCAATTTGTTTTCTTTTTCTTTTCTTTTTTTTTTTTCCTGCTTTTTCTCTCTAAATCCCCCCAGTACATAGTTGTATATTTTAGTTGTGGGTCCTTCTAGTTGTGGCATGTGGGATACCGCCTCAGCATGGCTTGATGAGCAGTGCCATGTCCACGCCCAGGATCTGAATCTGCGAAACCCCGGGCTGCCGAAGCAGGAGCACGCGAACTCAACCACTCAGCCATGGGGCCGGCCCCTTGAGGTGGCTCAATTTAACCACAAAAAGCAGATGATAAATCCAGAGAAACTTGCTATAGGGCCAACATATAAATCTGGAAAGCAGAGAGGACAAAACTCCATAAAAGCCAGGAAATTTCAAAGGAAGAGACTGTAAATTAAATCTGGAGGGCAATAGCTCACATTTATAAAGTATGGTATTAGCGTTCAGTTCACTTGAGTTCAGCAAACATTTACTGAGCTCCTACTGCATGCCAGACACTGGGCTGGGCAGTGGAGACTCAAAGATCCACAAACTCCTGCTATCATAAGTGCTCACCAGGAAGGATTGAGAGAGAGGAGATGCCGAACTTCTGTTATTTAAATCTTATTGTTCTGATGGATAATTGATGTTCCATACAATAATAAAATTATCCATTTTGTTAATAAAGATCTTAATCTGATTAAAAGAGGGTGAATCTGTATGAACTTCTGAAACACTGCTGTGGAATAATATGCTTAGTCATCAACTACCAAAAATGCGACCTTGCAGCAGAACAAGGGACTTATATGACTAAATTGCCAATAGCTGGGAGAATGGGTCAACCTTAGGAATGCAATTAGTTTAAAGTAATGCCACAAGCTTTATAGGGTATCAATGTTTCTTTGTTTCTTGTTCTCTTGAGAAGTATCAGTGTCAGTTTAAATATCCATAATCATTACGTTTCAAAAGCTAAGTAAAAATCATAATCTTGTGTCTCACTCTTGTGTATTATTTTTGTCCATGTTTTCTGACACTTGGTTTTCTGTGGAATGTGGATACAACGTTTATTGCAAACTCCCACTCACTTTGACCATTTCTACCTGAATTATTTTTACAACACATGGTGAAAATAAGGTGTCCTATGAAATTTTGCATCTGAATTTTTGTACTAAATCCATTCTCCACCTAACAATCAGTGATCTTTCTAAAATACAAGCCTGACCTTATCTTTGCTTAAAATCCTTCAAGCCTCCCCATTTTTTCAAGAAAAACTCTGAACATCTTTCATGTGATTTATAAAGTCTTACATAATCTAGGCTCTGCTATGTTCTGATTTCTTGGAAGTTTCTTTCTTTGCCTTATTAACCTCTACTTAGTCTTCAGTTCTCCCTCTATGACACCCATTCTGAGAAGCTTTCCCCTGACCTCCCAGGTCTGGGTTGGGTGCCTCTTCTAGGTGCTCCCAGAGCACTTTTACCCTCCTCTTTCATAACTAACCTGCTTACTTCTTGGTATCCCCAATTAGACTTTGGGTAGGAACAACTTCCATCTTATCACTGTCTCCCCAGCACCTAGCACAATGCGTGGCACATATCATGGATGCAATATACATTAGTTGAATAAACGAATGACATAAGCCTCTGTCTCCCAAGTCAGTGTTTTCAATGATATAATTTCCCAGTTAGCTGTAGGGCTATGTTCAAAGGATCTCTCCAGGCCCAAATTCCCCGTCATCCTGATGGATTTTGCCCCACTGAATGGGTGATACTTGAGTGTACTTCACAGTACCAATGAATAATTTACATTGGTGAGAAGCCTCAAAGTAAGTAATTTTAGGGTTCCTAATGCTGCCAGCAACAAATAAATGCAATAGATCTCAAAGAAATGAATTGATCAAATGGAATCTGTCTACATTAGAATGCTCCTCTGCAGAATTAGAGATGTACTTTTTTCCCCACAGCCTGGGCTTGGGTTACCCTACGCTTTCCATGTAATTGCCTCTTAGGCAATCCATGTCATCATAAGTAAATCCAATTGTGTGTGTGTGTTTTCATTTATTAATAATTAACCCTGCTGGTAGAAAGAGAGCCAAAAAATGGTTATAAAAGTTTATGGCCTAACACAGACCAGTATAGTTTGCTGTCTCTCTTCTTCATTCTCTCTCTTACCCACATACACACATGCATGGTCACATACAAAAGAAGGAACAATTGGAAGAGCTGACTTTCCAACTTAACAGAAAGTTACTCACCGGACAAGCTCCAAAGGTCTCGCTCCTTTTTTCTTGCCATTTCCTCTTGAACTTTACAAAGTATACGTTCAATGTTCATAACCACCTCAATAAGGTCAGCCTGGGCTCCTTTAATCTCTAAACTTGCCTTTCCAGGACTGATAATTTCTGAGATAGAGACCCTTGAGGTTTCCTGAAGCTGAGACAAAATGTCATGTTCCTTTTTCCCAAGGTAGAGGATATGATTATTCTCAATGATGTGGTCCTGGAGAGTGAGTAGCCTTTGGATCCAAGCTTGGGCCTCAGTCATCTTTTCTGGGTTGGGTCCCATCAGAGTGATGGCAGGAGATTTAGCTTTGAGCCCATTTTCTCGTTTCTCCCCTCCGGTCCACTGAGAGACTGAAAAGATTATCATAAGCAACCATAGAAGGCAGGTGAGTTTTAAACCAGAGGAGAACAAAACACCATGGCCAGTGTTTACCGCAAGGTTATTGTCACCATTGTCAGCAATAGCAGCTTCAATTAAGCACCTATCTCTGAGATCTGTGCTGGGTACAAAGGAAATCTAAATATATAGTTTACAGTTTCCTTACGAACACCGAGTTTAGCTTGTAAGGGTTGGCTTTATCAAGTTTTGCCCCTGCTCTGTTGCATTTGTCAATTCACAGATGGGTTCCCCTTGTGATCTCACTCTGGATGGTAATCAACTATTTCCTGCAGAATGGGATTTTCCTTAACCTCTTGCTATGACCAGGTTTAAAATCAAACATCTCTGCAAGCCAGAGAGCTTAAAGAGTGAAAATTCTTTAAAAACAACATGTATTTCTGATTATAAAAATAATACATGTTTATTATTTAAAAATTGGGAAATTATCAAAGTATAATGAAAGGAAGAAATACTTATAATTCCACTACCTGGGACTCCTTTTTATATTTTATATATGTGTGACAAGACATTTTGCATCTCCACAAAAAGCATGTGGAGCTTAGAAGCTATTGCTGGACATAGTATATCCCAGCAGAAAAGGAAACAGGACTTGATTCCAACTCACTCATGTGTACCCCTCTCCACAAGGAGTAAACATAAATATGAAGAGGAAGAATCCCTGATGGATTAGAGTGACTCTGAACCCAAATTACAAAAAATAAAAATAAAAAAGGAAGGGTGGGCAATGGACTAGCTGAGAGGGAATTCATAGAGGAGGCAGTATCTAGAATATGCAAAGAATTCCTTCAAATCATTAAGAAAAAGAAACAACCCAGTAACCAGCTGGGCAAAAGATGTCACAGAAGAGGAAACACACATGGTCCATATATATATGTGAAAAGATGCTCATCTTCACTGGTAATCAGGAAAATGAAAAATCACCCACCAGATTGGCAAAAACTCCTAAGTCTGACAATATCAAGTATTGAGAAGGATGTAGAGCAACTGAAACTCCTGTATATACACAACAGATGTAAACCTGGAACAACCACTCCTGTAATTATATTATTTAAAGAAATTTTTGCACCTGTGTGTCAGGGGACATGTACAAGAAAGTTCACATTCTTGTTTTTAACAGAAAAAAACTGGAAATAACCCAAATATCCTTCAACAATGATATATTATTATAGCAATGAAAAGGAGTGAACTTTAGCTACATGGGTCAATCTCAGAAACATATTTTAAAGGGAAAAAGTAAGTTGAGCACTTACTATGTTCTCTAGGCATTGTTCTAGGTGTTTTACATATATTATTTTATTCAATCCCCACAACCCTATGAGATAGGTACTATTGGTAGCCCTATCTTACAAATGAGGTAACTGATTCAGAGAGTTAGTAAGTAACTTGCCCATGGTTATAGATCTAGAAAGTGGTGGCCATGGAGCTATTAGGTGCGGGCAGTCTGACTCCAGTGCTCATACTATTCTGCCTCCCAATGAGTGATCCCAGGACAATAGTGGTAATTAGCATCTTTTCCCTGATATAGCAGTTGGGTGGTACCAGGAGCTATGAAAAAGTACCAGGACAGACCTAGAAGTAAGGGGGAGTATGGGCTCTGAGTAAAAATAAAAGCCAGTGTTTTACACAATATTAAGAAGCGATAAAGGTTCTTAAATTAGAGGCATACTTTTTTTTTAAACCCCTATTCTGCTTGGGAGCTTATATGACTTTTTAGGAGAAAATAAAAACAGTACATGATGATGCTTCATTTAGCCATCACTATCAGGAAAGAATTGTTCTTCTAGATAACTAAATTGTTCAGATCACTGAAGGATACTCTTCTAGCACCAAAACATATTTGAACTATTGAAAAGTTAAATATTTCTAGCAGAAACACACTTCCCTACCTTCCTAAATTGTTTAACTTTCCCTTGATAATCTGAGGTCATTATCGTTAATCATTATTAATGTCAATTATTGTCCTGTGCTATAATTCCTTTACAGATGTCCTCAAGAATTACTGAAGTAAATGGTAATGCCTGGCCCCGCTATTCAGATTAATGACATAAAGACGTGTGTATGTTTCTCTTCCATGTTATCTTCACCTAAAACTCCTGCTATCTAGCTTCCCTAGATTCCTTGTGGTTCCCCAAACATGCATTGCATTTGTTTGCGTCTGAGGGTTTTCTTCACGTTGGGTGCCCCACCCCACCAACTCTGGCCATTGACAATCTTGTCATCCTCAAAGCCCAGTTTAGAACCATCTCATCCATGAAGCCATTCTTGATCCCTTCCAGTCAGAGGGAAGCTCTCCCTCCTCTGGGCCACCTGGAGAGTTTGTCTATCCTCTCATTCGTTATTTATCCCCTGGCATTTGTTTAGTGCTTTGAAACTTACAGAGCATTTTTACATACATAATCTCCAATTATTTTCACACGAGTCTGTCGTCATTTTACAGATAAATAAACAGGCTCGTAAGAGACACAGTCACAGACCAGAGCTCTTAAAGTTCCCCCTTCTTTTCCAGCACAGCCGGACCATGGAACGTCCATAAGTGAACTCTTCTATTAAAGGGTGTAAGCAAATCATTTTGACCCTAATGGGAGATATCATAACAGTTTTATTGCTGGTTGAATGTCTAGTGTTCTTTTTTTTTTTTTTGAGGAAGATTAGCCCTGAGCTAACATCTGCCAGTCCTCCTCTTTTTGCTGAGGAAGACTGGCCCTGAGCTAACATCTGTGCCCATTTTCCTCTCCTTTATATGTGGGACGCCTGCGACAGCATGGCTTGCCAAGCAGTACCATGTCTGCACCTGGGATCCGAACTGGCGAACCCCGGGCCGCCGAAGCGGAACGTGCAAACTTAACCAGTGTGCCACCAGGCCTGCCCCTAGTGTTCTTAATATCTATACAACACTGTACATTAACAGACTATTTCAGAAGTACACATCCTAGTTGTCATGAGGCAATTACATTTTGGTCCACTCAAACTCCACTAAAGAAATGGAGTTCTAAGACAAAGTTAGTCCTTCTCCACCCTCAGCCACCAGGACTGGTTTAGTCTGGTGATCCCCAAACCCGGTTCAGCAGCAAAACTGACTAGGGAGCACTGAAAAATATACATGGTGGGCCCAGACCCAGAGTTTCTGAATCAGAATCTGTAGAGTCAGGGCCTATACATATTTTTGTTTGTTAAGGTTTCCATCACGATCCCAGTGATTATTCAGATTTGGATAGCATTGGGTTAATCCATTTATTATTATCTGGTGTTACTGAGATGTGTTTTCTATAATTACTAATCAGTAACCCCATTTAGATGTAACTCCATTCAGAGCAGAAAGAGTAACTGTGGCTTTGTCACATTATGAAGGACAGAACTTTTTCTTAGAAAAAAATTATAGGCAGCTATTTTTGAATGAACTACCCAACTGTGGATTACCTACTGAAACTTGGCCTCTCTCTGTTTATATCTTGAAATTAGACTGAGCAAAAATAAGAATCATGGTCAGGTAGAGAGCAGGTTGGTATCCAAGCAGGAACACAATAAAATACTTTTGGCTTATTTCTTCTTCTTCTCCCCTCCATTAGTTCAGATGATCAAGAAAAGAATGAGCCTATGGTGAAAGACTCTACTTCTAGGCCTGTGAATTTCTTACTCACCACTGTAATTGTTGAGACCCTGCAGCTTGGACATATTCTTTGCCATTTCAGCCCAGAAAATCTACAAGAAGCAAAACAGAGCAGAGTCGTGAGTCGACATTTTAGCCATTGTCGTCAAAATCCCTCTCTACTTGCACACACCACACTTGACCTCATCCACTCCATCAGCCCCCATTCCCACTGCCACAAATCTAAAGCAGACTTTTGGAGGGGCTGGCCCCGTGGCCGAGTGGTTAAGTTCGCGCGCTCCGCTGCAGGTGGCCCAGTGTTTCGTTGGTTCGAATCCTGGGCGCAGACATGGCACTGCTCATCAGACCACGCTGAGGCAGCTTCCCACATGCCACAACTAGAAGAACCCACAACGAAGAATACACAACTATGTACCGGGGGGCGTTGGGGAGAAAAAGGAAAAAAATAAAATCTTTAAAAAAAAAAAAAAGCATTTTAAAGCAGACTTTTGGAGTCCTAGGGAACAGCAAGTGCAGCACCACAATCTATTAGAACATGTAGGAGAAACAAGTATAGGAAAAATGAAAAGAAAATCAAACTCTGGTTTTAAAAAGCCAAAGCAAAATATAATCATTCATTCAACAGATATTAATGCCCTGCTCATTGCATATTAGACAGTGAACGGAAGCTGTGGATATGTGAAGAAGACAAATATAGACAGATGCTCTTGTAACAAATAAAACAAATTCATTTTAAAAAGTTATATAGCACACCAAGCGTTGCCTGTGGTTGAATAAATGATCAATTCCTAGAGGTAGGTACTTAAAATTGTACCTGGCACACAGTAGGCATTCAATATATGTAAGCTATTGTAATTATTACTAAATGACAGTCTATAGACAAAGGTTTGTGTATTTTGCCATGGAGATCCTTTAATGTAGTGTCTATTTGAAAAATTTCATCTCTCCTGGGGTTTGGAACCAACAAATTCAGTGTCTTCCTTATTTAAAGTTGATTCAATTGGCAATAATTACTTCACTGAAAAGATGATAATAAGGTAAAGACTAGATTTTGCTTTGCATTTGAACTGTAAAAGTGAAGTTTCTTTTTTTTTTTTATTGAGTTATTGATAGGTTACAATCTTGTGAAGTTTCAATTGTACATTAATGTTTGTCAGTCATGTTGTAGGTGCACCACTTCACCCTTTGTGCCCACCCCCCACCCCACCTTTCCCCTGGTATCCACTAAACTGTTCTTGGTCCATAGTTTTAAATTCCTCATATGAGTGGAGTCATACACAGATTATCTTTCTCTCGCTGGCTTATTTCACTTAACATAATTCTCTCAAGGTCCATCCATGTTATTGCAAATGGAATGATTTTGTTCTGTTTTGCAGCTGAGTAGTATTCCATTGTATATATGTACCACATCTTCTTTATCCATTTGTCTGTTGCTGGACACTTAGGTTGCTTCCACGTCTTGGCTATTGTAAACAGTGCTGCAATAAACATTGGGGTGCACAGGACTTTTGGGATGGCTGACTTCAAGCTCTTTGGATAAGCTGGATCGTATGGTAGTTCTATTTTTAGTTTTTTGAGGAATCTCCATACTGTTTTCCATAGTGGCTGCACCAGTTTGCATTCCCACCAGCAGTGTATGAGGGTTTCTTTTTCTCTGCAACCTCTCCAACATTTGTTGCTATTAGTTTTAGGTATTTTTGTCATTCTAACGGGTGTAAGGTGATATCTTAGTGTAGTTTTGATTTGCATTTCCCTGATGATCAGCGATGATGAGCATCTTTTCATGCGCCTATTGGCCATCAGTATATCTTCTTTGGAGAAATGTCTGTTCATGTCTCCAGCCCATTTTTTGATTGGGTTGTTTGATGTTTTGTGGTTGAGTTGCGAGAGTTCTTTATATATTAAGGATATTAAGCCTTTGTCAGATATATGACTTGCAAATATTTTTTCCCAGTTAGTGGGTTGTTTTTTTGTTTCAATCCTGTTTTCATTTGCCTTGAAGAGGCTCTTTAATCTGATGAGGTCACATTTGTTTATTCTTTCTATTGTTTCCCTTCTCTGAGAAGGCATGGTGTCCGAAAAGATCCTTTTAATACTGATGTCAAAGAGTGTACTGCCTACGTTTTCTTCCAGAAGCCTTATGGTTTCAGGTCTCACCTTTCGGTCTTTAATCCATTTTGAGTTTATTTTGGTGAATGGTGAAAAAGAATGGTTAATTTTCATTCTTTTACATGTGGCTTTCCAGTTTTCCCAGCACCATTTGTTGAAGAGACTTCCTTTCCTCGATTGTAGGCCCTCAGCTCCTTCGTCAAAGATTAGCTGTCCATAGATGTGTGGTTTTATTTCTGGGCTTTCAATTCTGTTCCATTGATCTGTGCACCTGTTTTTGTACCAGTACCATGCTGTTTTGATTACTGTAGCTTTGTAGTATGTTTTGAAGTCAGGGATTGTGATGCCTCCCGTTTTGTTCTTTTTTCTCAGGATTACTTTAGAAATTCGGGGTCTTTTGTTGCCCCATATGAATTTTAGGATTCTTTGTTCTAATTCTGTAAAGAATGTCATTGGGATTCTGATTGGGATGGCGTTGAATCTGTAGATTGCTTTAGGTAGAACGGACATTTTAACTATGTTTATTCTTCCAATCCATGTACATGGAATGTCTTTCCATCTCCTTATGTCGTCATCCAATTCTCTCAGAAAGGCCTTGTAATTTTCATTATATAGGTCCTTCACTTCCTTAGTTAAATTTACCCCAAGGTATTTTATTCTTTTGGTTGCGATTGTGAATGGTATTGTATTCTTGAGTTCTTTTTCTGTTGGTTCATTACTGGAGTATGGAAATGGTACTGATTTATGCAAATTGATTTTATACCCTGCAACTTTGCTGTAGTTGTTGATTACTTCTAACAGTTTTCCAATGGATTCTTTGGGGTTTTCTATATATAAGATCATGTCGTCTGCAAACAGCAAGAGTTTCACTTCTTCCCTCCCTATTTGGATTCCTTTTATTCCTTTTTCTTGCCTGATTGCTCTGGCCAGGACCTCCAGTACTATGTTAAATAAGAGTGGTGATAGAGGGCATCCTTGTCTCGTTCCTGTTTTCAGGGGGATGGCGTTCAGTTTTTGCCCATTGAGTATGATGTTGGCTATGGGTTTGTCATATATGGCCTTTATTATGTTGAGGTAGTTTCCTTCTATGCCCATTTTTTTCAGAGTTTTTATCATAAATGGCTGTTGGATCTTGTCAAATGCCTTCTCTGCATCTATTGAGATGATCATGTGGTTTTTATTCCTCAGTTTTTGATGTGGTGTATCACGTTGATTGATTTGCGGATGTTGAACCATCCCTGTGTCCCTGGTATGAATCCCACCTGATCCTGATGTATGATTCTTTTGATGAATTGCTAAATTCTGGTTGCCAAAATTTTGTTTAGAATTTTTGCATCTATGTTCATCAGTGATATTGGCCTGTAGTTCTCTTTTTTCGTGGTGTCCTTGTCAGGTTTTGGTATCAGCATGATGTTGGCCTCATAGAATGTGTTAGGAAGTGTTCCATCTTCCTTAATTTTTTGGAATAGCTTGAAAGGGATAGGTATTAAATCCTCTCTGAAAGTTTGGTAGAATTCCCCAGGAAAGCCATCTGGTCCTGGGGTTTTATGCTTTGGAATGTTTTTGATTGCTGTTTCTATCTCTTTCCTTGTGATTGGTCTGTTCAAATTGTCTGCCTCTTCTTGAGTGAGCTTTGGGAGATTGTAGGAGTCCAAGACTTTATCCATTTCCTCTAGGTTATCCATTCTGTTGGCATATAGTTTTTTGTAGTATTCTCTTATAATCTGTTGTATTTCTGCAGAGTCTGTTGTTATTTCTCCTCGCTCATTTCTGATTTTGTTTATTTGAGCTTTCTCCCTTTTTTTCTTTGTAAGCCTGGCTAGTGGTTTGTCAATATTATTTATCTTCTCAAAAAACCAGCTCTTTGTCTCATTGATCCTTTCTACTGCCTTTTTCATTTCAATAGTATTTATTTCTGCTCTGATTTTTATTATTTCTCTCCTTCTGCTGACTTTGGGCTTCATTTGTTCTTTTTTCTCTAGTTCAGTTAGGTGTGCTTTAAGGTTGCTTATTTGGGATTTTTCTTGTTTGTTAAGATGTGCCTGTATTGCGATGAATTTTCCTCTTAATACAGCTTTTGCTGTATCCCATATGAGTTGGTACGGCATGCTATCATTTTCATTTGTTTCCAGGTATTTTTTTATTTCTTCTTTAATTTCTTCAATGATCCATTGCTTGTTCAGTAGTGTTGTTTAGTCTCCACATCTTTGTGCCTTTCTCAGCTTTTTTCTTGTAATTAATTTCTAGCCTTGTAGCACTATGATCTGAGAAGATGCTTGTTATTATTTCAATTTTTTTTAATTTGTAGAGGCTTGCCTTGTTTCCCAACATATGGTCTATCCTAGAGAATGTTCCATGTGCCCTTGAGAAGAATGTGTATTCAGCTCTTTCAGGGTGGAGTGATCTATATATGTCTATTAAGTCTAATTGTTTTAGTTTTTCATTCAGCTCCACTATTTCCTTGTTGATTTTCTGTCTGGATGATCTGTCCATTGATGTGAGTGGGGTGTTGAGGTCCCCTACTATTATTGTGTTGTTTTTAACATCTTCCTTTAGGTCTGTTAATAGTTGCTTTATGAATCTCGGTGCTCCTGTGTTGGGTGCATAGATATTTATAAGCGTTATTTCTTCTTGATGAAGTGTCCCTTTGATCATTATATATTGTCCCTCTGTGTCTCTCTTTACCTGTCTTATTTTGAAATCCACTTGGTCTGATATGAGAATTGCAACACCTGCCTTTTTTTCCTTGCTATTTGCTTGAAGTATCGTCCTCCACCCCTTAAAAGTGAAGTTTCTTAATCGGTAGGACATTTTCTTCATAAATTCTATCTGCAGCTGCTATTTCCAGAACAAAAAGCCCTCAATCTTACCATAGTTAGTACCTAGAGAGGTCATAAAAGGGTACTTCCCTGCCCTCCCTGTCCAAGGACTTGGAGATAAAACAAATGAGATAACACGATCTGCTGATAAATAGACTAATAATAGCTGCCAAGTGCAAAATGGATAAAAATCAGCTCTCTCCAGAAGTCACTTTAAAAGTCAGGATGTATCACAGGGTAAGAAATCAATTAGGCAAGTCTTTTGCATTAGATGTGAAAGAAAACTGTAACTTAATCAGTATCAATAACATAGGAGATGTGGATAACAAGGAGATGGTCTGGAAGGAGTTTGGAAAAGTCGACCCAAATGGCAAGAATTTGGCAGTTTTTCCGGCTCTATCCACAAATGACCAACACCTAATGTGAGGCATGTCAGTAGTCTGTTCCTAGAGAAGGTGTTCCTTATTCTGAGACATAATGTCTGGCACAAGTTAGATATGCCATAAATATTTGTTAAGTAACCAAATGAATGACTATCCATCGCCTTTTACAAATACTCAGCTCCACCCAGGACCTTTATCTTCATGAAATACTGGTGAACACAAGTATTTCAGTCACTTGGGGAGTTATTTACTCACTGTCATTCATGAGTTGGAAAATTCATGAGTGTGTATCAGCATCACTTTATTGTGAGTTTAGTGTAGGTTGGTCTTCCTGAGTCAGGTCAACTCTGGATGTCTACAAATGCATTTTCTGGAATGTAGGTAATGCCCTCTGTAAGGAACTGTGTAAGTTGCCCTCTGATCTTTCTGAACACACAGCCCTCATTCAAAGACTTATTTGGGAAGAAAAGATGTGCTTCTCAGAAGGCCAGAGGTGTATACATATGTGTACACATATGTCACACTTCCACATGGATATAATGTAGTGTTAATATTGACAAAAGCCTGAAGGAATGGTCAATGTTCGGGGTATAATGTAAATTACTGTGTAAGATAATCCTCTCCTTTGAGTTACAAAACTGAAAGATGTATGATCTCTCAAGTTATTTTTTCTGTGTTTTTGTTTAGTGGTTGAGAACACAGGCTTTGGGGTTAGACAGACAGACTCAGGTTGGAATCTTGTTTTGGCCACTTGACTAGCTGTGTACATGTACTTGACTAGCTCTGGGTTAATATGCTTCCCATTTGTAAAATGGAGATGACAATCGTGGCTTCATCACAGGACTGAGGGGAGAATGAAATAAGACATCTTCTTAGCACAGTCCTTGGCCAATGCAATACATGGCAGCTATTTTTATTATTAGCTCCTAGGGGAGCCCTCAGACTGTGGGTGATCTTTCCACTTTTATTGAAGTCCCAAGTACATTTTTGTTTGCGTGTTGGAAAGAATGAACTTTCTTTTCTAGATGTGGTTAATTCCTTTTGTAGGGATACGGTGCATCATGAGCAGTTCAGGGATGTACTCAGGGCACCCATCTGGCCCCAGTGATAGTCCTCTGCTCTAGGGGGAACAGGTGAACTCCATTTGAAGGACAGGATGATTCATTTTGTCTAGAAGGCAAGCTACTTCACTGGGTAATTAGCCACCATCTTGCAGTTGTGGATGAGACACCATGGTGTACTGGAGCCACCTTACATTGGCTCACAAAAGTCCATTGTGAACATCTCTTCCCAACTCCACCTTCAGTGATGTCATATTGATAGCTTGAAGTCAGCAATGTAAGTCAACATATGCTACAAACTTCCCTGTGTCTAATCAGGTAGTAAAAAGAATAAGAACCTTTACACTTGTTCGAGGAAGGAGCAAACTAGAACAAGTATAAGTTCGTTTTCTTGTAGGGAGAGATAAAATGGCAACCACCCACATGGAGACAGGCTGGGAGGTGAGAAAGTAAGCAGTCAGAGGACTAGTGTTCAGAGCCACACTCTACCAGACACTAAGCAAGACCTTTTATACCTAAAACCTAGACACATGCCTGAGAAGTGGCACTAGCACTTGGATGTTGCTGTTGGGAGAATCACAAACTGATGTCTTGAAAGCCTATTTTAACAGGCTGTATCTTATTTCATTTCCTTTTTATTCTTCCTTAACATCACTAAACTCCCTTTTGAAAATGCCAGCTAAGTGAGAATAAAGCACAGAGATGGTACTTTAAAGACAGAACAGCACAGCAATATATACTAATTATGCTGAATATATCGGGGAACTATTAACATATTAGAAATTTAGCTTGATCTGGCCACTGTAGAACAAAAAGCTGGGGTGAAGTGAAACTAAAGAAGCTAGACACATAGATCTCTGTCCTCAGACACACAGACACACTCCTCTACACACAGGTCCCTCCATTTGTGTTAGACCACAACTGACTTCCCTCTGAGGTCACCTACAGAGGAATTAAGAAAGAATAGATTGAATTTGAGGGTAGTACTAGGGTCATGGCCAAAGTAGCCAGATGTACCCCTGGTATAAGTTAAAGAACTTATAATCTAATTGGAGGAAAAAAAGATAAACAATTCACTTAATTTAGTATTCAGTTCAGCACTCAGGGAACTACAGCTCATTACAGCTGATATAACAACAGCTAACCTTTATGGAGGGCTAACTGTGTGCCAGGTACTTTTCTAAGTGTTTTACATGGATTAACTCATTTAATCCTCACAACAGTTCCATAAGATGGTAGTTATTATGCCCATTTTAAAGATGAGGAAACTGAGGCACAGATAAGTAAATTAACTTGCCCAAGCAAGTTAACTGATTGGAGAGAAGACAAAGAATTTGTTTTAAATATATAGATTTAAGACGACAGTCAGATATCCAAGTGGAAAAGAGAGAGGGTTGGGGAAGTGAGTCTGAAGGTGGCTCAGAAGACAGGACTTTACAGAAGTTATGGCAGAAGTTGTAAGAACAATTGTGTGATTAGAGGGAGAGAGAAGAGAGAGGAGCAGAGGACTCCACACTAAAACTAGGAGGTTGCTTACCTTTAAGAAGCAGAGGGAAGAATAAATGCCAACATGAAAAGAGAGAAGCCAGGTAGTGGGGTAAACATGGCTTCTATAATGACATTCTTTACTAGGTCAGAGGTGGGAAATCTATAAAAATTAAATTTCACCAAGTTAGAACATCACCACACTGCACAGTGCTTGGCCCCATGTCTTTCATTGGAGATACTAAACAGATGCTGTGGAATGAATGAATGAATGAATGAATGAACTGTAGGACAGTTCTAAGATATTTACTTACCTTATACGTCTCCAGTTCTCTTGGAAAGATCACAAACTTTACAGTTAATTGTCTTTTCAAATGCTGTTTGGCAAATGTTAAAACTTCATCAAACATAAGCTCTGCTGCTGTACTCTTCTGCATACCAATGTTTCCAGTCCCAAGGGCAGGAAAGGAAATGGAAGTTACACTTAGCTCAAGGCATTTTTCCAAACACTGCTTTATTGCACTTTTCAATGTCTATAGGAAAAACACAAATTTAAGATCAGCCTTTGAGTCAAAAATAAGACTCCACTTACCCCTCGATTCTGCCCATATTTTACAATGCCAACCTCCACTCTCCCTCAGGACCATATCCATGCCTTTTCAAAGGGCAGGAAAGGTCCCACTCTACAGGGAACCCACTACAGCTATAAGGTTAGATGATGAAAAATGAAAAGGGCTGAGAAACTGAAGTAATTGAGTGGTCCATTTTGTGCTATTCAGGACATTTGGGCACCATTTCTCCCAGTTTATATAGCATTGCCCATCTCCCCAGGTCAGAGCGCCAACCATCAATTTATCTCCGCTTACCTGCCACTTCCAGATCAATATAAAGAGCTCTTAGAAGTTTAATAAAGGAGGTAGAGGTTAAAATAAGTAAGCAGCATTTATTCAATGTCATTGGAACTGTCATGTGGTTTCTCCTTGAGAAGTGCTAGTGCATTTGGCAGATTTAAACTTCCCATCAACATTTCACCATTGAAACTGAATCCTAATACAGGAAGATTGTCTGGGGAAGGACCTTGGGAAACCAAGGGGTAAAGAGTGATTGGAAGACCAATTTGGGATTAAAGGGGTCTCTAGCCAAGAGTGGACCAGAAATGGTGACAAAATAAAGCTAGACAGACAGAGAGGGGATTAAGTTCCCCTCTCTCCACATCTGAGAGGGCTCCCCCTATTCTTTAATAGTGCTTTCTGTGCCTCAGGTGTAGAGTCAGCAAGAAAGCCAGTCTCTACCACAGGCACAGGTGGGAAGAGACCCCGGGTAATAGATTTGACTGGAATGGTGCTGGAAGGGAAATCCTAGGTCCTCCTGGAATGTAACAGATGAAGGGAAATATGGAGAGGATGAATCCCAGGCCCACTTAGGTAAAGGCCTACAGGGTCATTGGGTGTGGGGAGGTTATCAGGGGTGCAGACTGAGGGAGCCCTGGTATTTCTGTGTCCACTTAAAATTTAGACATATGTTAGGTAATATTTTAAATTAAACTTCTTAAGATAACTTGTGGCAACACTTGTTCAGTATTTCAGGTATTTACAGGAGTGGTAGATGTTGGGGACTACACTACTTGACAATATTTCATGAATGTAATGACATCATGGAAATCCAACAAAGACTACATAGACTATGGAGCTACATAAAGATAAAGTTACTTTGACCTTACCAGATTTGGTGTAGGACATTCTGAATACCACAACACGTGGTATACATGTTGACAGGACAATTTAAATCCTTTTGTGACCAGTACCAACTGGGAATCTGAACGTATCTTAGTCTTTTTATTGTTAAATTCCTGTTCCATTTCTTTTCCAGCATGTTGTAGAATTGACTTCGACACTAGTCCTCTGCTAAGCCCATCATGTGGATTTACAGAATTAACAATTACATCCGTCTGAAAAGGGAAAAAATGGACAGGATTCATTGTTAAATTACCTTGTCTTAAATGACTAATTTTTTTTTTTTTGAGGAACATCAGCCCTGAGCTAACATCTGCCAATCCTCCTCTTTTCGCTGAGGAAGACTGGCCCTGAGCTAACATCCATGCCCATCTTCCCCTACTTTATATGTAGGATGCCTACCACAGCATGGTGTGTCAAGCAGTGCCATGTCTGCACCTGGGATCTGAACTGGCAAACCCCGGGCCACCAAAGCAGAATGTGCACACTTAACCACTGTGCCACTGGGCCAGCCCCTAAATGACTAATTTAAATCTTTATTTCCCTGAAGAGCTTTGAAAGATACTTTTTTTTTGGTGAGGAGGATTGGCCCTGAGCTAATACCTGTTGCCAATCTTCCTCTTTTTGCTTGAGGAAGAGTGGCCCTGAGCTAATGTCTGTCCCCATCCTCCTCTATTTTGTATGTGGGTCACCGCCACAGCATGGCTTGATGAGTGGTATAGGTCCACACCTAGGATCCAAACTTATGAACCTGGGCCACCAAAGGGGAGCATGCCAAACATAACCACTATGCCACTTTTTGAAGATCCTAAATCCTCATAAATATAATTTAATAATGGTTAGAGACTCCTATTTCCAAAGAGTGATCATTTGATTGCCATGAGCCTGTTTGTCCTCTTCAGAAATCAGGTAAAGTGTGTTAATGATACAATTTTTATTGCAAACATGTGTCAGCTCCTTGCTGGCTTATACTCCCCACCCTCCCCATATTCCCAGATTCTGAGCATTCCCTGTGATTTGTTTTAAGCTCTATCAACAAATGGTTTCATTCCCTGCCCCACCATCATCACTTTGTGCTATTTCTCTGTGGATTTTCTATTTTGTTTTGTTTTGAACAGAGTGGAAATAAAATTTCTCAGAAACTTCTACCTCCTAATGCTTTTATTTTTTAAGGTAAGTAGTACATGGTTAAAGAAAGTACAGATGAGACAAAAAGGTCTTGAGTGAAAAGTAGGCCTCCCTCTTGGTGGGGTCCTCAGATCCCCGACTCACCCACCCAGCCTATAGGCAACTGCTTTCACAGTAGTTCTTCCTCTGTATGTTTAGAAATAGACTGTACATAGTTATGGGCTGTATTTTAAGTAATATCACCTCCTAGTTAGACCTCAGAGCTGTGCTAAAGGGGAGTTGTATCCTTTTTTCCCCCCATGCCTAAATCCCCCTGAATCATCCTGATGGCTTTGGCTCCCTTTGGGAGTAACTTAGGTACTTCTCATGGATGTTAATGAATGCTTCCCTTTGAAACTGTAATCAGAATTTGCAATCTGGGGGCACTGGCCCCTTTAACAATTTTAAGGTTCCTAATGTTGTTGACCATAAATAAATACAAAAAAATTTCAGTTAAAGGGATAAGTTATTCAACTAGGATGTTTTCACTTTAATTTTAAATTGGCATATTAATGACTTATCGAGTATTTCATTTCATGGGGTCCCCTTGGTCTTCTTTCTAATTGTCTTGGAGGCAATAAGTGGCATTTTTTCACTTACAATTAAGTCTATTTGATTGTGACCACAGGAGAGTCTTAAATGTGGTATTACTGATCCAGAAAAAAAAAAGAATATAACCTTATATTCTTTCTCTCCCTCTGTTGCAGGCACTGCTCCCTGCTGCCCCCTTCACTTATTCATCAATAATTTGCTGAACACTTAGATTCATACGCCAAGACTGGGCCCTGGGGTACACAGATGAACAAGCCATGATCCCTATCCTCAAGGCACTCTCTGCCTAGCAGGGGAGCCGCATTAACCCGGAAATACCTAGGTTCGCTGTTACCCTGACTCTCTCCCTGTCCTGCCTGGGCCTTTGCCTATGTGCCCAGTGAACCTGGCTAAATGCTAAGTTACACTTTGTATTCTCCACAGCCCCTGGCACAGAGCCATAGACTCAGAATGTGACTCACAGCTCCACCTGGGTCTCCCGACTGGTCCAGCCCATTATTTTCAGTCTGTCAGTTCCTCTGTGTCTCTCTGATCAAGTCATTCTAACCACCCAGGCCTCTCTTCTCCTCCTGCCAATCCATACCCATCATAGCTGAGATCAGCTTCAAAACTCATATCTTCTGAAGTAATCTTTCTTGGTCCACTCCATTCCATTCTTGTCACAAATTTACATACTCTTAAATATTATGAATTCGCATTGTAAGACCTGTTTATTTACTATTGATTTGGTTGCTTCAGAAATGTTCATATGGCTTGTCTCCCCAATGAGATTTTTCAAATAGAGAATTTTTTTTACATAAAAAAATATAAAAGATTTTCGTTTCTGTAGAATCAAAGATTGTTCTATATCCTCACGGTGCCTAAGAATTATAGCAATAATAAATACTTACCGTGTGCCAAGCTCTATTCATTTTTTGTGTGTGTATGAGAAAGATTGACCTTGATCTAACATCTGTTGCCAATCTTCCTCTTTTTGCTTGAGGAAGATTGTCGCTAAGCTAACATCTGTACCAGTCTTCCTCTATTTTATGTGTGATGCCACCACAGCATGGCTTAACGAGTGGTGCTAGGTCTGGGCGCAGGATCTGCACCTGCGAACCCTGGGCCGTTGAAGCAGAGCACACGAACTTAACCTCTACTCCACTGGGCCGGCCCCTATTCTAAGCATTTCATGTGTATTGATTCCATCTCTAAGATGTAAGTGCTGTTATTATCCTCATTTTACAGATGAGGAAACTGAGAGCAAAGGATAAAGTAACTCAATCCAGTTCACCCAGTTAGTAAATGGCAAAACTGGTATTCAAATCCAGATGGTCTGTCTCTGACGTCCATACTCTTAACCTTAACAAGATGCTTTCTAAAGCGTTTGAAATAGTATATACTCAAAACATCCTTGATAGGTAATAAAGAGTTCAGGGATCCCCTCTGGCAGTGCAGGAGAAGAAAAACAAAGCCTTACCTGCTGCAGTTCAATGTGGCCCAGGACAATCTGGAGAATCAGGTTGTTCACAACCATCATACTGGAAGGAGGAGTGGCTACCTGACTCACCGAGGAGTCCAGCTCGTTCCTCCCTAGGATGGCTTCTGAGGCAGTTTTAAAGGCAGCAACAGTAGGGTCCTCATTGCTTACCAGGTGGATTTCTTTCAAATAACTGGCTGCTTGCTTTCCTTGGAAATAATGCTTGATAGTGTCCACAATGATGTTTGTACACAAACCCAGAGGGAACTGGAAAATCCCAGAGCTCAGGGCTGGAATTGCTATTGTCTCAGTGTATGGATCGCTATAGGTGACGTGATTCAGAATATTTATAATGGCTCTTTGCAGCTTTTCCATACACCACTGTCTATCCTTTGCCTGCCACTGAGGCCCAACAGCATGGATAATGAATTTGCAGGGAAGCCTCCCTGCTCGTGTGACACCTATGTGACCAGTAGGTATTTTACCGGATCTGGAAACCAATGATGTGCTCTCCTCTTGGATTTCAAAGCCGCCAGCTTTCACCAGGGCCTGGGCCAGGCCTCCCGCATGAATAAGGTCTTCGTTGGCTGCATTCACCACAACATCAACAGCATGTCTGGTGAGGTCATCCTTCCAGACAGATAACTCTAGCCCATGAGTCAGCATTTTTCTGAAGACTTGCAGAGACTCCTTGTTACCTTCACGGGCTGGAGAGACCAGGGTAGAAATACAGCAAAATTTATTCTGAAGGACTTCACAGAGCTGACTCTCATTATTTTTTAAAATTTGGAAGTCATCGTGACTAATGGGAATTTGCCAAGTATAGTTTTCTTCAAGGATGTCAGTCTCTGGAAAAGAAGAGAAGATAAAAAATAAAGAAATGAGCAAGGGTTCCTCTGAAAAGATGTAATTCCACTTCACACCAGGAGACACGTTTCCTCTGTGCAAAAGAGACAAGAACTTCTAGTCCCCTTCCTGATTCTCCTTCTCACCTAGACATGTAATTAGACCAAGGATATCCAAGATCTCAATGTCAGGTCACCATAAAGTGCTTAGTCTTGTGCCTGGCATACAGTAAGTACCCAGAAAGTGACAGCTACTATGATACAAGGATGGTGATGAGAAAACTATGTATGGGGGCTCATGAGTTTTTTAAATCTATGTGAAAATGGTGAGTTTGGGAAGACCCATGCTTAAGGCACAAGTATTGGAAAGGACTTAATTATGAGTCAAAATATGTGGAAGCTTTATTTATAACTTGTTTACTTTTGTCAGTGTCTTAGTTTGGGTTCTCTTAGAAGCAGACTCTGAGACAAGGATTTGAGTGTAAGTTTATTTGGGAAGTGATCCTAGCAAACACCAGGGGTGTCGGGTGCAGAGGGCAGAGTGGGAAAGTAAGACAGGGAAAGGAAGGAAGTGAATAAAGGGTGTGTTAAGGAAATGAAGCTTAACTCCACTGAGTGGCAGTGTAGATCAGGTGACTCAGAGTTATACCACAAGAGGGGTAATGGAGCTGGGATAGTTATCCAACTTCTATCCGTCATTGATTGAGGATGCTCCTGTGGGCACACAGTCCAGCAAACAGGTGGAGCACTGACAGTGCTACAATAAATAATTCTTCCTCATACTCTAGTTTCATGGCACAATTAGGGTGGAATTAAAACTGATTGACTAAAAATTATTTACTGTATGTGGCAGACAAGAAGAGTTGCTGCTCAGATCCCCCTTCGATGTGGTTATGAAGAGGAGAATATGGTTAGCCGACAGCCTCCAGTTGTTAGCCCCTCAGTGTCCATCTCAGCTTTTTAGCCAAGGTCACCCTATTAGAGTGGCCCCATCAATGGTTGAGCAAGGCCATTTATGTCCAACATGGGACTCCCATAATGGGCAATCTCAGGCAGGCAGAGCTTTGTCAAGTTTTCATTACACTCTGGTGGCTCTACCCGCCCAATCCAGTTGCCTTTCTTTTCCTTTCACAACCTTTTGCACTCCTAACTCCACCTCAGATTCTGCTTCTTGGAGAACCCAACCCGTGACACTGTATTTCATGGAGTCTAAAGCATCACTATTATATGCCACTGAGAAAGGAAAAACGACGCCAGTTAAACCATGGCACACTGTTGATTGATAGGGAGTAGCCTGACTTCAGAGATGTGAAAAAAATGTGCATCCTAAAATAGATAAAATGTGGTAATCTATTAGATTTTACTTCAACTCCCATTTCTAATCTGAGCCACCTAGAAAGACCTCTGATGGCATGAACTACCTGAAAGAAGCAGCACGTGAGTAGTCAGATCCAATTGGCCTATGCTTTAGTTGAAAATCTCAAGTGGGCCAGCCCTGGGGTTAGGCAAGTTCCATTTGGCTTTTACAGCCCTTGTTGAGCAAGCGGACAAACATCTCTTCTGGCCAAGAAGCTCTCGGGCTCTGGTCAGAGAGTCTCACATCTTGAGGGCAAAGGAAAGGATCGGTGGGAGCCCTAAAGACTATGTCTGCTGGCACCACACTGCCTCTGAGGCAGTCACCCTCCTGAGGCATGTGCCAGGTCACTACAAGGTCCTGCAATCACGCACCCGAGCACTTGAGGGGGAGACATTCTCCTTCTTTATTCCCCTTTCTCCACTGAGGAAAGACATGAGCAAAGATTTTCCGAAACAAGAGTGAGGGTGAGGTGATCCTACCTGATTTGTCATTGGAAGCTGCTGCTCCAGCACCCTGTGAAAAATGAGAGTGATTTAAAAAGCAGTTGAAACCAAAGGACTACAGATAACTGGTAACAAATACAGCCTAATAAACAAAAAGCAACAGAAACCCTGCTAAAGGCACTGGATTTGAGGGAAAAAGGGAACATGTGTTTGTTTGTTTGTTTAATCTGTGTGCCTGAAATACCTGAAATACCAAATTTTCCAGGAAACATTGACCCTACCCTATTTCCCTAGAGGCCAAGGCGCTTCTAATTCAGGATGAGATGAAGGGTTCGAAATTAACACTTGAAAAGGCCCAAAGATCACAGACCAAAATGACCAAAACTCTCAGACAGGCCTCCAATTTCCAAAGGGGTTGTGGGTTTCTCTAGACAGAAGACCTGGGGACATGAGCCTCAACAGCTACACGTCCCCCTCTACCAATGAGGACCCACTTCCTATTGCATATTTCATGACACAAGCCTGAATGTGGAATTTTCCGGTTAATCAAATGAGGTGCCTTTTCTCTATTCCTCCTCCATCCTCCTCCTCCTCCCATCCTACAAAAGCAGAATTGCTAAATGAGAATCAAAATGATACTAAGGTGACATTTAAAAAAAATCATCCATCCTCATGTTGACTCTGTTGACTAGATTTGCATATTCTTAATACCCATCTCTCACTTGGTTCAACGAGAAATCTTTTATTGGGCTATTAAAACCAGGTAAGAATGCCAGGCATAACTGAAGACTCCAGATTTCTTGCTGTTATAGGAAGAACTATTCATGTGCTGATCAAGGTTCACGATTTATATACATTTGTGCTTTTTACCTTGATAGAGTCCATCCTTCAGGTCCCTGGGGTCTTTAAATGTTTATATTCTGTTTTGTGTTTCCAAGCGTAGACTGTTGTTCCCAAATATGGTGGCCCACTTCTAGGAATGAATAGAAGGAGGCAATAAGGATTGACCAGCATAAGGGAATTTAATAAGTATACACCATAGGAAGACGATACATGATTTCGGATCTTGAGTAGTTTTTATTTCACTGGTGAAGGAGTATACATTGTTTTGCTGCTGTTGTTACTGTTGACCTTCTACCCTTTACAGAGAGGTTCCAACAGGGACCAAAGTGGCAGTTCAGCAGGGAACGCTTTATGGAGAGGGTGAGACTACAGCCAGACCTTGAAGGATGGAGTGGGTTTTATAGATTTAGAAGAGGAGGGTGATATCAAGTGGTAAGACTGAGTACAGCATTCAAAGAACAATGAGGGAAAACCAGCCTTATGAGTGAGTGGAGACCCCTGGAGAGGTTTTGAAGAAAAAGGGAACTGGCCATGTGCCTGTGAAGAGTGTATGTGACTGAGTTTGGGATAAATATCCTTGATCGAATTAGAAAGGGGAATAACTAGATAGGGGAAACTCTGGGAAAATATATCTTAACAACTTTCCATCTAATAGGTAGGAATCAAAGACTGAATTTTTAGGAGAATGATGATGAAAATGCTTGAAGACACAGTTGCTCCTACTTGTTGCCCATAGCTGTCTTTAGGCCTCTGAAATGACTTCTAATGCCTTTGCAGTAGAAAAATTTTGTACAACTATCTACAGCAATTAGAGCAGTATTATTCTTACGTGTCAGGAAAAGCAGCAAGTCCAGTAAAATCCTAAAATGCAAGAACAAGATGCATGTTTGCCTCCAGAGGGCACTGCTGTTTTCACAAAAGAAGGAAGCCTTCTGTATCGGCTTCCACTGTAGGCTTCCAATGAGCTTTTGCTTTAAATGGTGTTGCACTTGTTTTTTAATTCAGACCAGGCATTACAGGCCTAGGGCTAGACTTGGCAGTGGGGGGTGGGAGTAAGGGGGGGCATTCATTTAACCCCAAAGAAATTAGAAACAAGGATCATATTGCCCAAAATATTCAATCTATTCTATTTTAAAAACAATAACAACCAAAGCATTCCCGACTTTCCGTCACTGGTTCCTCCTGTGTTCCTTTCTCTTATGGGCAGCATGAAGGAGCTGACCCTCCTCCATCCACCTGCCACTCAACCCACTGTAGACTGGCTCCCACCTCACCCCTAGCACTCCTCTAAAACCGCTCATCAGTGTCCGCCACGTGGTTAACCCCAGTGGACTCTCTTCTGTCCTAATCTTTACTTGATTGCTCTTTATAGTATTTCATTCTTTGATTCCTGAAACTCTGCTTTCTTGGCTTCTCCTATGCCATCTTCCTGTGGTTCTTTTGTCACTTTGCCTTTACAGGCTTTTCCCTGGATTCCCCCCTCACCCCAGCCCCTCCAAAATCCATACTTTATCTCCTGGATTCCACAGCTCGGTAAATGATACACCATTTACCCAATCAAGTTAGAAATCCAGAATCTTCTGTTTTGTCCCACATCCAACCCATCACTGGGTCCTGACCACCTAAATCCCTTTCAGATATGCCTCTACCCTCCTTGCCCCTGACACCACTTCACTTCAGGGCCTCAGGGCCTCTTGCCTGAGCTGTGGCAATACATTCTTTTTAAAGATTTAAATGTATTTAATTTTATATTTTATTGTTTGAATAGGTATTACATTTACTGGTTCAAATTTAGAAATCGTAAAAGTCGCCCTCCTACTCCCCTCACTAAATTCCCTTCCCAGAGGCAATCAATGTTATTAGCTTCTCCTGTATCCTTCCAGAGGCATTTTTACACAAAAGGTAGCATCTTACACACATTCTTCTGTGTCTTGCCTTTTCCATTTAACGTCTCCTAGAGATCTTTCCATATCAGCCCACAGAGAGCTGCTTCATTCTTTTTCCTGCTCATTGCATTCCATTGCACAGATGCACTCTAAGTTATTTAACTGCTAGTCCCCCTATTTATAGACATGTAACGAGTTCCCAGTCTTTTGATGGTATAAAAAAGGCTTCAAAGAACAACTTTGTACATAGGTCACTTCATACAGGTGCTAATCAATCAACGGGACAAATTCCCATAAGTGGAACTGTAGAATAATAAAATATATGCAATTATAATTCTGATCGTTCTGCCAAATTGCTCTCCATAAAGACTGACCCATTTCCAGTCTTACCAGCCAAGTGTGAAAACTTTATCTCTGACCTTTCTGCCTCCATTCATCCCTGCTTGGAAATGTGTCCTCCACATGGTTGTCAGCACCAGCTTTCCACAGTGCACATCTGACATGTCCCTTTCCTACTTCCCCTGCTTACAACCCTTCCATTTCTCCCTGCTCATCTTCAAGACCTTTCACCAGCTGGACCTGTGCCATCCAGTGTGGGCCATTAGCCACGTGTAGCTCCTGAGGACTTCAGATGTGGCTAGTCCCAAATGAGATGTGATATGAGTACGAGATAAACACTGGATTGATTGCAAAGACTTAGTATGACAAAAAAAAATGCAAAATATCTCATAAGTTTTTAACATTGATTACATGCTGAAATGATTAAATTTAGGATATATTGAGTTAAATAATATATCATTAAAATCAATTTCACTTGTTTATACTTTTAAAAAATATGGCTACTAAAATATTTAAAATTACATATGTGGCTCCCATTATATTTCTATTGGACAGCACAGATCTAGACCCCTCCTCCCTCATCTCCCTCAACCATCTCATCTTCTCCAGGGTTTCAGTGCTCCCTCTGTGCTTCAGAGCATTGTGGTCCCTGCGCCTCAGATGCTCCTCACCCCTCACTCACCCCCTCCCCCGCCCCCCCCCTCGTTAAAATTCTGTTTGAAACTTCCTCTTGGAGGCCTTCAAGAGATTTTGCTTCTTTATTCGCAAGTCCCCCTCCCTTTATCAGCCTGTGAGGTCAGGCCCCAGCTCTTATCTTTATTCCCTAGTCCATAGGGCAGCACGCAGTTTAGCGCTGTTGGCCGAATCAAGGAATGAGGGCCGTAAAGCCCTCACTGGCAGTCCCAAGGATCGAACGCAGGTGAACAAATTCAAATTTTTTTTAAATATAGGTGAGTTTAATCTAAATTCAGAATGTGAATTACATTTTAGCAGCAAATAGTAACACTAAGAGTTCAAAGGAATCCCAAACTCAGGAGAAACTTTTTTGACTTAACCATCTGCCCAGTCCCATCCTCGCAGGGGGAGGTCTGGTGGCCCTGGGAACCCGCTGCTCGCCCGCCCCAGCCCCAGCCTGCAGGAGGGCACACGCGGGAGCCTCTAGCGCCCGCCGCCCCGGGGCTGGGAGACAGAGGACGGGGACGGGGTCGGGACCGACTTACCGCGGCAGGGAGCGCAGCAAAGAGAGGAAGGGGAGCGGCTCTGCCGAGAACAGGGAGGGTTCTCCGGGAAAACGAAACTGAAACTTGGCGGCCCGAGGCTGCGGGCGGGACGCACCCCCGCCCCGGTCCCAGCCTGGCTGCCTCCCGCCCCGCGGCGCTGCCCGACGCCCTGAGCCACGGCCTTGGACCTCGGCCCGCCGTCCCCGCGGCCCGCGCAGGCGTCCGAGCCCGGCCCCGGGCTACGCTGGCAGCTGGAAGGCGACCTCCAGAAACGGCCGCCGGCCGCCGGGGAGTGCAGCGTTCGGCCCTTCGACCACAGCCCCCGGGACACCGCCATGGCCTCGAACCTCGGGCCGCCGTCCCCGCTGCTCGTTCGGGTGTCCGAACCCGGCTCCCGGCTGCACAGGAAGCTGGAAAAATACTTCCAGAGCCGGGAGTCGGGTGGCGGGGAGTGCACCGTCCGGCTCTCCGACCGCAGCACCCAGGACACCTTCGTGGTGGAGTTCAGGGAAAGGGCAGGTGAGCTCCGGGCCAGGGCTGGGGGTGCAGAGGCCGTCCCCGGGGGCCCAGCCCCGCGGGGCTCCATGCAGACCCGGTTCAAGCGGTCCCAGGAGAGAGGGCGGGGCAAGTATGGCAGGGTCTGTCGGGGACAGGACCCGGGGGGCTCCTGCTGCCGAGAGACGCAGCCGACCGCCGAGGATAAAGCCCAGAGGTGCCCAGTCCGAGATCTCGTCAGACGGCGCGCTAAAGTTGACACTTTTCCGGTATCCTCGTCCTGGCTCATACTTCTCAGCTCTCACAAAAACACCCTCTCACCCCCAGACGCCTGTCCCCCCTCGTCATTTAGGTATTCCACTTGAATGTTTTAAATAATTATTCCATTGATTTTTTATTTTTGAGAATTACAAAAGTAACACATGCTCACTATAGAAAAGAGAGGAAAGGAGAAAGAAGAAAACCACCTGGAGACAAACAATTGAACATTTTGGTATATTTGCTTCCAGCCCTTTTCTATGAATGTCAGTAAACACGTATGTTTATTTACAAAACTCTTAGTCTGCAATTTTGATTCCTGATTTTTTCACTTAACTTTGTTACTGAACAAGGTTTGTTTTTCCCACCCCACAAAATGCCAATCACGGAAAGGAGGAGTTTGCAGCAGAGAAAGGATTTATTCACAAGGCAGCCAAGGGAGAAGGGAGAACAAATCTCAAATCTGTGTCCCCAAAAATGTGGATTAGGGATATTTATGGAACAAAGGTGTGGGATGGTCTGAAGTGTGAGGATGGATGATTGGGGGTGAGGAGAAGTGCGGTAACTGACGATCTGCGCAAGCGTAGTCAAGCTTCATGGCTCTTCACTGGACGCACGTTCACAAAATGGCGGCAGGAGCATGATCTGGGGGTGGAGTTTTCAGCCACTTAATGTCTGGGGGTTGCCTGTAAGGGGATTGCCTACTGGTATCCTCGCAGGCCGGGTTGATGAGTCCATGATCTTAGCCGGCCTGTAGTGGACAAGGAGTCCACTCTTAGTTCCTGAAAAACTTAAGTATCTCTTATGATGGTGACCCAAGAGTTAGAGATGTTATCTGTAGTGTGGGCTTTAGGAATACATTATCTAACTACTTTTGCAAACAGACAACTGAGTATAGTTAAACAAGTTGGCCCCCGGTTTCAACTTCATATAATAAGTAGTATTCCTTGTCACTGAAATGGGAAATTGGAGACTGTTTCAGAAACATGACTTTTAATGAGAGGCTGACATTCCATTATCATTAAGCTTTCATTTCTACATTAAAACTTAAGTTGCCCACTTTAGAGTTTTGAAAAGCTTCCTCATGTCCCTGTTACCAACCACCATTCCAGGATGCAGGGAGCAGCCCTTACCGGGAGGGTATGGGGCAGATGCATGAATAAGAGGATTATTTGAAACCTCTCCCATTTCTCTGTGTATGTGTGTATTGATGTCTCCACTGAAGCTAAGGAGGGAGTGTTGAAAAAAAGAGAGCACCAGATTGTGGTTGACAGCAAACGTGTGACTATTTTCCTGGAACCCACTGAAAAGCCTATAGAGAAGAATCCACGACCCAGAATGTCTTCACTGACACAGTCACGAGAAGGGGTGAGGTTTGGTGAGAAGCATCCACATGAAGAACATATTCCTAATGCTGTGGATTCCTGTGTCCAAAAGGTGAGTATTGAAAGAAGGACTTGGGTATGTTCCAGCTTCTTCCTCTCCACTCACCATAATTTTCATTATTGGTCCAACGACCATTTGCTGAGGACATACTATGAGCCAGGCACTGGTTTTGGCACTGGGACACAGGTGAACACACAGATGAGGTCCCTGCTGGGGGTGGGAAGATACATAGAAAGATAATAAGCAAGTAAACAAATAAATAAAGTAATTTTAGAGAGTGATATGTGCTAAGAAGAAAACATATAGTGGGGGTTTGCCTTAGAGAGTGACAGCGCCAAGGAAAGGAAGGGGAAGAAGGAGGTGGTGTTCTCGGAGGAGGGGAATGATGAGAAGGAGCCAGCCATGCAAAGAGTCATTCAACAAATCAATAGCAACTGCATACTGTGTGCTAGGCACTGTCACAGGAGCTGGGGACACAGCCAGGAAGACAGCACACACTGCCCTCAGGTGCGTTACATTCTAGTGAGGGAAACAGACAATAATTGTAAACTAATAGACCTGTACTAAATGACTGCCAGTGATAAGTGCTAGCAAGAAGAATAAAGCAGGATAAATGATAGACAGTGACAGGACCGCTATTTTAAATAAGATATCAAGTAAAACCTCTCAAATGAGGTGACATCTGAGTGGAGACATGAGTGAAGTAAGGGAGCTGGCTAAGTGGATTCCTGGGGGATGAGTGTCCTAGGCAGAGGGAAGAACAAGTGCTGAGGACCAGAGGCAGGAGCTTACACCCCGAGCCCCAGGAGCTTCAAGAGGGAGGCCAGTGTGCTTGGAGGGCAGTGAGCAAGGGAGACAGTGATAGGAAAGGGACAGAGAGGAACCCAGAAGTCAGGTCTTTGGCGGCATGAAGGTAAAAACTTTAGCTTTTAACTTAAATTTATCAGAAGGTTTTGAGCCAGGGGAGTGGGGCAATCTGATGTACTTTTCTAAAGGACCACCCCGGCTGCTGTGTGGAGAACTGAATATAGGAAGGGGCTGGAGTGGACGGTCAGAGCCCAGTCAGGAGGGGTTGCAGGGGGCCAGACGCAGGATGATAATGGCTTGGACTCTGGGTGGTCTTGATGGAAGTCTGAGGAGTGGCTGGATTCAGGAAACATTCTGAAGGCAAATGTAGAGGAAGGATGTTCCATGCAGAAGAGCGAGCATGTGCGAAGACCTTGAGGGACACAAAGCATGAGCAATCTTGCTTTTATATTACGTTCAATTTGCCTCTGTCCTTTTTAGCTGAATCACATGTGTCTGTCTCATATTTGAGCTCCTAAAGGCCAGGGTTTAGGGGACCCAGCAACATTGCATGCAGTTAGATGTTTAGTTAAAAAAAATTAAAAAGGAGGTAAAAGAAGAGAAAAAACAGTGATAGGAAAAAACATCCTCCTCCGATTTATGGTTCCCTTCCAGGCTCACAGACTGTCTTATGAGAAACACAGCAGCTTGCCCAGAAGGCAGAATTGCCTTCCCTCCATCCCATCCCCCAAGGTCAGACAGGTCGTGGCAGCTCTAGAATCCAGACTTATGGTCCACGGAGTTTTAAAAAATGTTAGTGCCCAGGTGCCACATTTATATTGGGATCTCTGGAGGTGTGCCTGGCCTTGGCTTTTTTTTTTTTTTTAACTCCCCAGGTGATTCTAATGTGCAGACAGGGCCCAGAGCCTCTGAGCTTAGCATGCTGCATCCTCCGCAAAAAGGATTTGAAAGAAGCACCATCTGCTAAGGGAAGACATAGTGGTTGTTCTCTAGTCTCTAGACATTCTCCTGAGAGGAGACAATAGGCCTGGATGTCTGAGAGGTTTTATTTGTTCCTTTTAAATTTTCAGATCTTCCTTGCTGTCACAGCTGACCTGAACTGTAACCTCTTCTCTAAAGAGCAGAGGGAACACATAACCACCCTCTGCCCCAGTGTCAGAAGAATGGAAGGCCACGATGGCATTGAGAAGGTGTGCGGTGACTTCAGCGATATTGAAAAAATACATCACTTCTTGAGTGAGCAACTCCTGCAGAGTGAGCAGAAATGTGAATTGTCCACTTTGACAAAAGAGAGGGATCCACTCCTCCAGGGGGTGTGGAACAGCTGTGTTTCTCCTTCTGAACCAACAACCAGGTTAGAAGAAGAAAGCAAGCGTTGTGAAGTTCCCTTGCCTTTCTTTGAATACTTCAAATATAACTTTCCTCATAAAATAGACTCAATAGAGAGAAGATTTCATGTAGAAATAAAAGCTCAGGAGAGTTCTTCAGATATGGTCTATTTAGACTTCATCTCAAGCCAGTCAGACGACAGTGAAGCAGCTCGTGATTATTTTGCCAGTGAGTTTCAGAAGATGGTACCAACTCTGGGGCAGGAACGCGTTCCTTTTGCAGACAGTAAGCAGGCAAACAGGATCAAACAGGAATTGAATCGCCAGTTTACAAAGCTCTGTATAAAGGAGAAAGGAGGAGAATTAACTCTCCTTGGGACACAAGATGACGTTTCAGCTGCCAAGCATTTTCTTGCCCACCAAATCCCTGAAAGTCGGGTCAAGGCACCTGTGAAAATACGCACTTCTGGGTGCTGGATGAATGGAATTGAGGTTGACACCATTCACTATAAGCTTTTAGAAGCTGAATTACTCCAGGAAATGTCAGAGATAGAAAAAAAGTACAATACTAAAAGTAAGGTTTTAGGGAAAACCCGCATTCTATTTGAACCTAAGGACAAGGAGTTGGATCTGTCTGTGCATGCTTATGAGAGTTTCATCGATGCCTATCAACACTTCTCATGTCAGCTGATGAGAGAAGTTCTTGCGCTGAAACCTTTGGGCAAGGAGAGGAAGCACTTACATGGCACCAGTTTTGCTGATGAATTTAAAAAAAAGCATCCACATATAGACTTTGTTCTAAATCAAGAATCAATGACTTTGATTGGGTTGCCCAATCACCTTGCAAAGGCAAAGCAGTATGTCTTAGAAAGAGGGAGAATGACTCCATTAGCTGGAGAGAAATGGAATGAGGATCGTGAAACATCCATGGACATTGATAGTAATGATTCAGAAACAGCTTCACCAACATCCCAGCATTCTGCCAGTTCTGGAGCATCAAGAGTGGACAACGAAAAGGACACATGTGTCATCTGTATGGACATTATTAGTGACAAACAGGTACTACCCAAGTGCAAGCACGAATTCTGCAGGCCTTGTATCTACAAAGCCATGTCATTTAAGCCAGTCTGTCCTGTATGCCAGACTTCCTATGGTATCCAGAAAGGGAATCAGCCAGAGGGAATCATGACTGTCGCTGTCTCAAGAAACTCACTTCCAGGTTATGAATCCTGTGGCTCCATTGTGATTGATTATATTATGGAAGGAGGCATACAAACAGTAAGTGTTTCTGAGGTCCAGGAATTTCTTTCCAGGGGATTACCTGGATAATCTTTGCTGAGATTACCAGAGCAAAGGAGACTGTTCTGTTGTCAATTAGACCATGGATTTCCCAGGGAATTACTTACATGGTCATATGCAAAGGCTTAAATAGTGATAAAGGTAACAATGTTTCCTTATAACTTAGGTATCTTTTGTGTCTATTAAGGCAGAGAAAAGGCCGGTGGTGATTATGTGTCAGTGTGGGAAGAGTCAGGAAAGTGGATAGTGTTCCCAGCATAAATGTGGGGAAAGAGGAGAAATATGAATTATTGGGAATATGAGCAAACCTTCAATACATTTTTTGGTTTTGATTCGCTCTATCTGTACATGAACACATTTATACGTATAGTAAAGTTTAGACATGGGAGTGTTTTCATGTGAGATTTTCTTGTCTTCGTACAGAAAGAGCACCCAAATCCAGGAAGGAGATACTTGGGAATCCACCGAACCGCGTACCTGCCTGATAACAAAGAAGGAAACGAGGTTTTGAGACTGCTTCGTAGGGCCTTCGACCAAAAGTTGATTTTCACAGTAGGAGACTCTCGAGTAACAGGAGCCTCAGATGTCATTACGTGGAATGACATCCACCACAAAACATCCCCGTTTGGGGGACCAGATAAGTGAGGACCTTTTAAAACATAATGATTGCTAAACAGAATTCAGAAGTCATAAAATATAGCAATTTGAGGATGTGGCTATAAAGAGACTGTTGATAGCAGTGGGACTGGATATAGGAAAGTAATTTGAGAGATGCGGATCTCAAAGGCAGAAAGATGAGTCCCCATCACTTTCTCCCTCCCAACCACAAAGGATCATACCGTTAGTAAATTTTGCATCAAAGGGCAGGGGTCTTCAGAATCTAAGATGAAAGGTATCTAAGGTGATTTAATTTGTAGTTTCATGTCTGTTTGAAAGGTAGAGCCTAAGAATGATATTGACCTTGCCTTGTTTTAAGCTCACCCTTTCTTCTCCCCTCCCCTCTCATCGCTCCATAGAGATCCAAAATTCACTTGGCTAATAGCACTCTAGAAAAAGTCTTAGTTAACGGTGGTGGAAGTTGTATTATAGGCAATCCAATTGTTCTTCATGAGATTCACATAGAATACCTCACACCCTTAGTGTTCAGAAGGGAATATATCCTGAGACTTTTGCAAATTTCCCAAATTTGAAAATCCTCCTCTTGCATATGACTACCTTCCATAAAAATATAGTGTAGTATGACTTCATGAGAGTCACTGCTTACCATGAGCTGAAAATAAAGTCTGGTTGGAAGGCAGATCCTGCACAGACAGCTAGGCTCACTCACTAGCTGGATGACTCACATCTGCATGTTACCAGCGATTATACCTCATCCGCCTTCAGGACCGCTTGTGCGTGTTTGCAATGCTGAACGTTAGTGCCAGGGATCTACTGTACAAAACTTTTAAAACCACTTATGATGAAGCTAAAGGGCTTTTTCCTTCTGCAGGTATGGCTACCCCGATCCTGATTATCTGAAACGCGTCAAACAGGAGCTGAAAGACAAAGGAATTGAGTAAGAAGACTGCTGGAAGGATGTCTTGAGCCAAGCTTTCAAAAGACAGTTGAAGAAGCATAGTAAATACCAATCTAAATCCTTATGTAGGAACAGCTTTTAAACATTTTCTTCTCAGGAAGTGGTTTGTGTAAGAGTAAGACTCTGCTAGTCTGTCATTTCTGGAGTGTTACTTTTTACAGACGATAAAAAGCCCAAAGAGTAGTGTAGTTTTGCCACAGAGGTGTGCTGCCTCATTCTTGTGTCACTGCTCAGGGGCAGAGTGGGTGGAGTGCTGTGGCACTGATAACATCTTCTATGTTCTTCAGTAGAAATACTAGCTGAAAATTGATCTTCTCTTTGTTACTCTCTTTGTCTGGGGTGGTCCTTTAGTTTTTTGTTTGTTGGCCCTTTAAATTCCCTAAAAGTAAAATCTTAGTGTGAATGGAGGAAAGAAAGGCTTTGGCTATGGAAAATTAGAGACACATGTTCCCCTCCCTCCCTCATGGCCAGAAAAGTGGCCAGGAGCAGAGATTGGACAACTTTGGGTAATAAATGGAACAAAGCTATTATTTTTCATGACACAGAGCCAGGTATACAGTTGGTGCTTAATAAATTGTTGCTGCCTGACTCAGGTTGCTAATAACCCAGCTGATTTGGAAAACTGAGTTTCTTACTCCAGAACATTTGGCCTCTGAACTCTGACCAGGCCTCTCACTTGGTCCTTGCTCCCCCCGATCCTTGTCGTCTGCCGTAGGGGTGCACTTGCCCTGTCATAGTAATGCTACACGTTTCTGAACACTTTTTTCCTCTGGATAAAATTGCACTTTTGAGTATGCTCCGCTTCCAGCTGTAACAGATAAATAACCTTACTTTAGTTTTCATAGACTATCATTTTCCCAGTAATTGTAGCCCCCACAGTAGTAGTTTTTCCTTCCTTTTACTAAGTCCCACTAAGTCATGTTTTCTCCCTTAAAATCTTTCTCCCTGATACTCTCTCTGGACAGAGAGAAGCCAAGAGTTGAGCCAACTATAACGAATATAGGACATGTCAAACTTTACTTTTAAATGGTTCTCCAAGTGAGAAGAAAGTTATAGTAGCCAATTATCTGGTTATCCACATCCCTGCCTCTCTCCAAAAATGATGAACGAGATGTCTTTTTCTTTTCCTAAAGATATGGGTACACATACATACGAATTTTTTGGTCAGACAGTCATAGCTAATATTTGAAGTATACTTATTTTGTCCCCTTTATAAGAGCTTTACATCTGTGTGATTGATTCTGTCAGCATCCCCGTTTTATAACTGAGACAACTGATGCACAGAGAGGCTAAGTACTTTGACAAAGGTGTCGCATAGTTAATAAGTGGAAGTGCTGGGATTTGAAGGAGAGAGTCTGGCTCCTAGGCTTCCACACCCCAGAGCTATACGGCCTCCTCCAGGGGGCTTCTCCTCCTGGGAGCAGGCTGAGAAGTTCTTGTTATTCTGAGCTTTTCTCAGAAATGGATTCCTGCGCAGCGCTCAAAGCAGATTTCCTTGGAGGAAGTCCTGTTTGAAGAACTTAAAAACCCAGCATCTTTTCCTTTGTCCAGAGAGTTGAGGAAGCTTAAACTAAATGGGCCTTTTTTTAAAAAAAATCAGATCATACTTTTAATTTTTGGTGGTTCATCAAAGTCTTTACTGTTATGATTGTTTTGTATCTGCTGATCTTTTAGCTAGATTTGCTTCAAAAAAGCAAAAGTTTGGTTCCTGCTGAATTCTGGATCCTTGACTGCAACTTGTGCGCATAGGCGAGTTTCATGGTGTGCGGGGTTGGTGAGCCTTTGGATTACTGTTTTTGCTCTGCGGAAGCTATTATCATCTGGATCTGCTTTAAATAAAGTTATATCCACATTAGGAACAGATTGTCTTGTGTTCTTGCCCCAGTCCTTTTTTCTTTTTTTGTGGGTGTTCCTTACAACACATACAGTGTATGACAACTTACCATGTGTGCAGACATCTTTGGTTGATTTTGTGTGTAGCTATTTGCTAAATGGTATCACAGTAGACCTTAACTACTATTAACCTCACTGCTGCCACTTTCAGCTATGAAATCACATTTCTCAATATTTTTCCTCCTTAACACATTGGTTACTACAAAGATAAAAATAGGCTGCAGGTTTCATCTCTTCTCTCCTAGAGAAAGCATATGCAGCATACCCTATCAAACTACACTTGCCCCCTCCTTGCTCCTAGAGTTTCTGTCTCCCCTTTCTAGCATCAGTGCTGGATTACCCAGTCGGCTCACTGGGCACCAGCAAATCAGGGCACCCTTGTCTCCAAAGAAAAAGGAGAATTGAAAATAACATGGAGATATTTGATGTTTCCCTAAAGATAGTAAGTTTCTGTGCCCAATTCTAACCCGTGGGCTTTTCCCCCACACGTCCAACAATTCTCTGACAGCAGCTGGGTGTCCTACAATTCAAACCACAAGTTAAGGGCTCAGTCCTACAAGGCTACCCTCCATTTCAGATACCAATAGCAAGTCCACGTTGTTACCTGTGCTTCTGACTGAATGGCTATAAATCTGAGGTTCCCAGGACCACCTTCTTGGGTTCAATTAATTTGCTAGAGGGGCCCACAGAACTCAAGAAGTAGATTTACTCACTAGATTACCAGTTTATTATAAAAGGATATAACCCAGGAACCACCAGAGAGAAGAGATGTATAGGGCAAGGTATGGGGAAAGGGCTCGGAGCTTCCATGCCCTCCAAGCGCGCCACTCTCCAAATCTCCACTTGTTCACCAACCCGGAGCTGTCCAAACCCCGTCCTTTCTTGGGTTCTTATGGTGGCTTCATTATGTACACATGATTGATTAAATCATTGGCCACTGGTGATTGAACTCCATCTCCAGCCCCTCTTCCCTCCTCAGAGGCCAAGGGGTGGGACTGCAATTTCCAACCTGCAGAGCCGCCATCCTTAGGTGCTTTCCAAAAGCTACATCATTAACATAACCAAAGACATCCCAGACACAGGGACAAAGACCAAATAGATATTTATCATAAATCATAACATCACAGATAGTATCAAAGCAACCATTACGAGAAAAAGCAAACCTTTCTTGGGCTTCCTTATCTTATGGTTTAGAACTGTTTTTGCTTTCATTTCCACATAAGAGTTAGGCACTATTTCCTTTTCTATTGATTGAGTGTTAAGTCCCTAAAACACAGAGCCTTAGGCAATGATCAAAAATTGGTTTGGGAAGTGGAAGCCCAGGTCAGTGAAGGTAAGGACAACAAAAAGAGAAGTGAGACGAATATGTGATGCAACGCAATGCCTGAGTTATCACCCTGGCCACTGCTTCACAAAGAGCCTTGAAAAGACAGCAGGTCACTCAGCAGCTTTATTTGCTTGGCATATGAGTTGAAAAGGACGGCAGAAATTATCTTGTTTATATGCTTTATTTTATAGAGGAGGACACCCAGTTTATTTCCTGTGAAAACAACAAACAATGTAAAATATATTCCATTTATAGCACATTAAACTGCAGCCCTAGTGGCACCTTTGTCTTCTCCCACTCATCCTATACATCCATTGTCACCAGTCCTGCGTCTCCTTCTTCACTTCGAATCTCATTGCCCAGTTCTTCATCTTCATGGTTCTCTCACCAGAATGATTAAAATATTCCCTAAAGAATATTTTATCACTCTGTCTCCATCCCCCTTCCTCCTCCCGCCTCAAACTACCTTCTGAAAAAACAGCTCTGATCTCATCACCCTTCAGTATGATGATATGCCTTCAGTGACTCCTGATGCCTACAGCAGTACTGATCGAACTTGATCTTGTGTCAGCATCCCTGAAGGCCTCAATAAAACGCAGGTTGTCTTCTAAGACCCAACCCTAGAGTTTCTCACCCATTGGGTGTGGAGTTGGGCCCAAGAATCTGCATTTCTAACAAGTTTCCAAGTGATGCTCATGGTACTGGTCTGGGACCATTGGCCTAGAAAATAAAGTTCAAACCCCACATCACAGCCATCAGGGATTTCTCATTCTACTTTGCTTACCACATGTCCCCTCCTCTCCACAAAGCCCCTGTGGTCCAGTCACACCAGACTACCAGCTCTTCCAAACCACAGTCTATGCTTTTATTCTTCTGGCCTTTGTACCACATGTTCTCTCTCTGGATGTCCCTCCATTTCGTCCTGCTCTTAGAAATCTCCTACTTATCATTCAAGGTGTTAGTCAAATGCCACTAACTATAGGAACTTTCCTCCAGTCGTCTCCATATTATGAATCACTTGTTTCCCTGTGTTCCTAATACTTTATACATATTTCTATTAATGCAGATGTGCTATCAAAATCCACTTACCCTGCTTTCTGCCTTGGAGTGCTGCTGGGCCCTGACCTCTAGGTATTGCATTGACTCCATTCTCATGCTCTCTGATTGCTGTTGGGTTCAGCAATGCGAGGTTCCAGCAAGAGATGGGAAGGTAGGAGGAGAGAGAGACTGGGGGATTTATTCCCCCTGTTGTCTCCCAAACTCAGCCACATCTCCTCTCGAATAGCTCTCTCCTATATGTATGGCTCTTATCAGGCTCAGTCCATGACCCCTCCCTTGCCCCTTCAGCCTAGATGATAAGGGGAGAGTGGGGCTGCTTCACCATTTCGTACTGATTTCCCTTAACCCTTTGCCCACACCTATCTAGGTAATTCCTTTATTAACCTCTCTTCAATTACCCATTTTGAGTATACTATCTATATCCTGCCAGGACCTTCCATGACACACCAGGTAAATGTGTATTTGTCTGTTTTTCGCATCTCTTCTGTTCCTTCCACCCCCATCTCAGACAGAAGGGATTGTGTCTAATTCATCTTTATAATCTTAATGCATTGCCAGGCATATCAAGGGCCTTCAATACAAGTTGGTTGAATTAAATTAATGTCTTGTCAGGCTAGACCTGATTCCAGCCCTGTCTTAGGAGGCATGAAAAGACCCCAGTGTATTTTTCTGAAGATATATGTGTAGGGAAAGTGGGATGGGGTAGGAATGGGATGCCCAGCAGAAACGGGAACTAATATTGATATATATATATATATTTTTTTTAATGCCAGGCACTCTAGAGACTTTATCTGATTTAATCCTCATGATAGTATCATGAAGTAGTTATGGCTATGCCCATTGTACAGATGCAATTGACTGAGGTTACACAAGTGATGAATTAAAGAGCCCAGGACTCTGACCCAGAATTTGTCTGACAGGAAGGTTTCTCTCAAAAGGGAGACATAATCTTGAGGCAGCTGTTTCCTCTCTGAAGACTGAATACTGCTGTCGAAGCGTTTCACAGAAAAGAAAGCGAAAGAGAATCTCGGGACAAACTTTTTGAGCGGAGCGGGCTGGCAGTGGGGACAGAAGAGCAGAGCTGAGGATGGCGGCGCACAGCCCGCCGCTGCTGATCTGAGAGTCCTGGTGCCCTGGGGCCCCGAACCGCACCCCCCCCGCCCCCCCACCCCCCGAGGAACTTGGGCACCAAGCGGCAGGTGTACTTCCAGAGCGCGAGGAGATCGAAGAGATCCGGAGGCTGGGAGCGTGAGGTCCGCCCGCCCGGAGCCGGGCAGCCCAACCCGCTTCCTGGCGTTCTTCCTCCAGGAGGATGGTGAGGGGCGCAGGGGCAGGGGTGAGGAGGGGGCGACAGGATGCCCTCCAGGAGCCGGGCGCACGCGCGGCCCTGCAGCTGGGGTGGCGCAGGGACCCCACGTCCCTCCGAAGGCTTTCTTCTAGGAGGCAGTTACCACCTGACTTGTCCCGGAAGGGAGTGGAGTGCCGGGCACCTTTGTCCTTTCCCCTCACATTTTAAAAGTTGCTTGTAAATTAGGGAGATTCGTCTTTTATCTGTGATATTTCTTATGGATATTTCCTTTCAGTTTGTCATTCGTCTTTTTTTTTTTTTTTTTTTTTTAAAGATTGGCACCTGAGCTAACAACTGTTGCCAATCTTCTTTTTTCTTTCTTTTTTCTTTCTACTTTTTCTCCCCAAATCCCCCCAGTTCATAGTTGTATATTTTGGTTGTGGGTCCTCCTAGTTGTGACACTTGGGACGCCGCCTCTACGTGGCCTGGTGAGTGGTGCCAGGTTCCTGCCTAGGATCCGAACCAGCGAAACCCTGGGTTGCCGCAGCGGAGCCCTCGAACTTAACCACTGGGCCACCAGGCTGGCCCCTATCATTTGTCTTTTGAGTTTGCTTATGGTGGCTTTTTTTCCCCCATGCAAACGTTTTCTATTTTTATGTAGTGAAATTTATCAGTCTTTTGTTTTTTTGCATCTGGACTATCTGGACTTCTGGCCGCATTTTAAGAGCTTTCCCCTTCACCCAGGTTATAGTTGCCCATACTTTTTTCTCTTTGCTAATGCTTTATTTTTTACATGTAAGTCTCTGATACATTTAGAGTTTATTCCTGTGTTTGGTCTGAGGAATAGACCTAATTTTATCTTTTTTTTCCAAATGGGTATCCACATTTTTATCTCTGGTAAGACTTAATAAATTCCAACACCATTTATTAAGATTATCGCTGCCTCCGTAACTTGAGATACCACCTTTATACTAGATTTTTAGATGTAGTTTGGCTATTTCTGGAACTTGTGTTCTATTCAATTGAGCTGTTTATTCATCTGTTTTGGAGGGGCTCTGTCATACGTTTTAATGTCAGGGCCCCCTACATAGCTCCTCCTTCTCAGTGATTTCCTAGTCATTCTTGTGTGCTTGTCTTGCCTTATGAACCTTGAGTTTCAGTTCTGATTTATGATGAGTGTCCAAAAACAGCTGATTGGGATTTTTATTGGGACTGCATTAAACTTATAAATTATAGAGAGCTGACACCTTGAGATGATGTTGAGATGTTCTAACCAAGAACAAAGGATGCCATTTCATTTGCTCGTCTACTTTGTGTCTTTAAAGAGTATTTTATAGTTTTCTTACATAGAACATTACTTTTTGTTTGTTTCTAAATATTTTATCATTTTTCTTGCTATTGTAAACAAGGTTTTCTTATTCACTCAATCTTCTAACTAATTATTTGTGCGTATGAATGCTATTGACTTTTCTTTTCATTTTTAAAATTAAAGTATAATTTACATACAGCAAATCCCTACTTCTTAGTGTACAGTTCTATGAGTTTTGACAAATGTATACAACCATGTAACAATCATAAGATATAAAGATATAAAAGAGTTTCATCACCCCCCCCCCAATTACCACCAGTCCTTTTGTGGTCAACCTCTTCACTCAAGGTGAGCCCCTGGCCAACACTGGTCAGATCTTGGTCCCTGTAGTTCCAGAATGTCATATAGGTGGAACCACACAGTACATAGTCTTTGAGCCTTGCTTCTTTCACTCAGCATAATGTAGCTGAGATTCATCCATTTAGTTGCAGGTATTATGAATTTTCTGTTGCTTTCTAATTTAATTCTATACTGGTTAGAGAACATATTTCTTATTGTTTGAATCTTTTAAAATTTATATTTTGAGATTTGTTTTCTGGACAGAATATGGTCTATCTTGATAAATTCCCATGCACACCTAAAAACACAATGTGTTCTGTTGTTGTTGCATGGAGTATTCATTCATGTTGCTTAGAGCAAGTGGTTGATAATATTGTGTGATGACTCCTATCCATACTGATTTTATGTCTAGTTGTTCTATCAGTTATTGAGAAGGGATGCCGAAATCTCCAAATATAATTGTCGATTTATTTTTCCTTGGAATTCTATCAATTTTACCTTCATGTATTTTGAAGCTCTGTTATTAGGTGTATAAATGTTTAGGGATTGTTATTTCTCCTTGATGAATCTTTTCGTTCGTCAGGATAAAATGACATTTTTATCTTTGTTAATACTTGCACTGAAATCTACCAGTCTTCTTTCTTTTTAACTTTTAAAAATTGTGATAAAATACACATAACAAAATTTACCATCTTAACCATTTTTAAGTGTACAGTTTAATAGTGTTAAGAATATTCCCATTGTTGTGCAGCCAATCTCTGGAACTTTTTATCTTGCAAAACTAAATTAGTATCTCTCTTTTTCTGACTGGCTTATTTCACTTAGCATAATGTCTTCAAGGTTCATCCATGTTGTAGCATGTGTCAGAATTTCCTTCCTTTTTAAGGGTGAATAATATTCCATTGTATATATATACCACATTTTTAAAATCTATTTATCTGTCAGTGGACACTTGTGTGGCTTCTATCTTATGGCTACTGTGAATAATGCAGCAATGAATATGAGTGTACAAATATGTCTTTGAGATGCTATGTGCAATTTTTTGGATATATGTCCAAAAGTCATATTGATGGGTCATATGGTAATCCTATTTTTAGTTTTTTAGAGCAGCTGCACCACTTTACATTCCCACAAACAGTACATAAGGGTTCCAATTTCTCCACATCCTCACCAACACTTGTTATTTTCTTTCTTTCTTTCTTTCTTTTAATAGGAGCCATCCTAATGGGTGTGAGGTGATATCTCATTATGGTTTTGATTTGCGTTTCCCTAATGATCAGAGATGTTGAGCATCTTTTCATGTGTTTATTGGTTATTTGAATATCTTCTTTGCAGAAATGTTTATACAAGTCCTTTGCTCATTTTTCAATCAGGTTGTTTTGTTTTTGTTGCTGTTGTTGAATTGTAGGAGTTCTTTATGTATTCTGGATATTAACCCCTTATCAGATATATGATTTGCAAATATTTTCTCCCATTCTGTAGGTTGACTTTTTACTCTATATATTTACTGTTTCCTTGCTATGCAGAAGTTTTAAACTTTGAGGTAGTCCAGTCCGACTTTTCTGTTCTTGTTTTTGTTGCCTGTGATTTTGGTGTCATATACAATAAATCATTGCCAGGTTCAGTGTCATGAAACTTTTTCTTTTGTTCCACTGATCTATATGTCTGTATGCCAGTATCATATTGTTTTGATTACGGTAGCTTTATAATATGCTCTGAAGTCAGGAAGTGTAAGGCCTCCAGCCTTTTTTTTCTTTATCAAGATTGTTTTGACTATTTGTGATTAAAAGGAATTTTTAAAACAAGGAAAACATTATTTTATATTTACTCATGTACTCACTCTTTTCATCTGGCATCATTTTCCTTCTTCCTGAAGAACTTCATTTAACATTTCTTATAGTGCAAGTCTTCTTGTGATGTTTTTTCAGCTTTTGTGTGTCTGAAAGGGTTTTTATTTTACATTTATTTTCGAAAGATGTTTTGTAAGTTGACAGCAAAGATGTTGCTTCCCTGTCTTCTGGCTTCCATTGTTTCTGACAAGAAGTCTCCTGTCATTCTTATACTTTGTCTTTCTGTGTATAATTTTCTCTGTATTTTTAAGATTTTTTTTCCTTATCACTGGTTTTAAGCAACTTATGAAGTGTCTGGGTGTAGCATTCTTCATGTCTATTGTGCTTGGAGTTCATTGTGCATCTTGGATCCATGGGAATATAGTTTTCATCAAATTTGAAAAAAATATTGGCCATTACTTCATCAAATATTTTCTTCTGTCCCCTTCTCTTGTTCTTTCATTCATGTATGTTATTCAACTTGTCACACAGCTCACTGATTCTCCACTCATTATTTTCTCAGTCTTTTCTCTCTGTCTTTCATTTTGTGTAGTTACTATTTTTATGTCTCAAAGTCAACTAATCTTTTCTTTCTGCAGTATATAATTATCCTTTTAATCCCACTCAGTGTATTTTTGACCTAAAACATTGTATTTCTCCTCTCTAGAAATTTGATTTGGTTCTCCTTTATATTAAGTCTCTGCTAAATACACTCTTGTTTTCCTCTACCTTCTTGAAAGTATGCAATATTGTTATAATAATTGTTTTAATAGCCCTGTCTACCAATTCTATCATTTCTGGGTTAGTTTCAAATTATTTATTTTTTTTTCCATATTATGCATCATATGTTGCTTCTTCTTAGTCTGGGAATTTTTGGTTGGATGCCAAACATATGCATTGTGCCTTGTTGAGTCCTAGATATTCTTGTACTTTAAAACATATTTTTGAGATTTTTATCTGGGTCACAGTTAAGTTACCTGAAAACAGTTTGATCCTTTTGAGGCTTATTTTTAAGCTTTGTTAGGCAGGAGCAGGGTAGCCTTTAATCTACAGCTAATTTTTCCACCACTGAGGCAAAACACTTCTGAATTCTTTACCCTATATCTAAAACTTCTCATGAGGTTTTCTTCTGTGGCTGTTGGGAACAGGCACTTTTCCCAGCTCTTTTGGAGCTGAAGGCTCCGGGAAGAGCCTCTGTAGACCTCTGGAGATCTTTGTGCATCTCTTTCCTCTCCCATATTCTGACTTGCAATTTCTGGTCATTTTGGCCTCCTCAGAGTCCTGAGTCTGTCTCCTCAACTCAGTGAGGCTACCAGGCTTCCCCTACGTTTCTCCTTCCTGCACTATGGCTTGGAACCTCTCTCCTTATGGTAAGCCTGGAAGGGAGCAATTGTTGGGCTCACCTCATCTGATCACTGTGCCATATTGCCTGTTTCCAAACATCTGCAGAAGCATTGCTTCATATCTTTTATCCAGTTTTTTAGTTGTTTAAGGTGTGATAGTAAATCGGTTACTCCATATTGGCCTAAACGGATGTCCTAGAGCTATCA